ATGCTAGTCGAAAAAAAAAAACTACGAGTAATGAGACTCGTGAAGGATGCTACAGACAATAGAACCGTGAAGGACTAGTTCGAGTAGTCCGGACCTTTAAGAAAAAAAAAGAGAGGCAAGGCGGGAAAAAAGAGAAGGAGGGATGTAGCATAAACAGTCTTAACCCCGGTTCTTTTATTTTTATTTTTTTATAATTTATAATTCTAGCGCTATCTTTGCGGTCGGACAATCATTAAATACATAGAGTTAATGATTTGTATGGTATGATGCAAGTAAATGTTTTGTTTTTGAAGATTAATATAAATTGAATCTATATATTAAGCGAACTTATTCGATTTATATATTCTCATTAATAAAATAATTTATAATATTAGTATAAAAAATTTGTATTTGAATAATTAAGAGGTCATTTCAAAACACTAATTAAAATATTTTATTTAAAAATATATATTTTAGAATATGAAAAAAAAATTGATGTTATGTGTACGGATATAATTAATTTATAACAAAACTAATATATTATACTTGACATATTTAGAGTATATAAAATAAATAAATAAATATAAAAAACCCCACTTAAATCGTATGGAATATATCGAAGTAAATAGATTTAAACAAAAACTACTGTAAAATTTATTTCAAAAAATTATGATTATATATATATATATATAATCAAATAAAACTTGTAAATTTTTTTACTAATTATTAAGTTTTTTTTTAAAAAAGCAGAATTAATTTTTTAATTGATTATCATTTTAAAAAAATTAATTCAAATTATCAAAAATACACTTTCAGCTCTCTCTCCTACTCATAAGAATTTATATATGACAAAACTATATATATATATATATATATATATATATATATATATATATAGTTTTGTCATATATAATTAGCGAACTCAGAGCATACAAAATAAATAAATAAATATATCAAAAATCTACTTAAATTGTATGAAATATATCGAAGAGAATAGATTTAAATAAAAACTACTCGTAAAATTGATTTCAATAAATTCTGATTATATATATATATATATATATATATATATTACTTAGCAGACTTAGAGTATATAAAATAAATAAAAAATATATAAAAAAATCACTTAAATTGCATGGAATATATCGGAATGAATAGATTTAAATAAAAACTATTATAAAATTGATTTTGAAAAATTCTAATTATATATATATAATCAAATAAAACCTATAAATTTTTTTCTAATTATTAATTTTTTTCTTTAAAAAAAGGGAAAAAAAGGGAGGCCATCCGTTAAAAGGAAAAAAAAAAAGCTACAGTGAATGACAGCCTACCTCTTAAAAAAAAAAAAAAAAAGAGGCCAGCTCAGAAAAAAAAATTGAATGACAGTCCAGCCCTTCAAAAAAGAAAAAAAAATGGAGGCCAGCCTGGAAATGACAGCCCAACCATTAAAAAAAAAAAAAAATTAATTAATTCATCTCTCAAATAAAGAGGAACTAAGAAACAACAAAAAATTGATAAATAGGGAGTTTAGAGCTACAGTGAATGAATAGTATCACATGTATTTTTTTTTATTATAATTTTATTGTCGACACTTCGTTTCAAAATTAAAATGGAAAGGATCCAATTCTCCTTTGGAAGTCACCAGATTCAATTTAACTGCATCCTTGACTCATAAAAACCCTGCTGCTGAAAACCACGCATCTGTCAGATATATCTCATTCTGCCACTGGCAACAACGTTCATGGCAGGAACAGAGATATGGTCTGCTTACATAAACATCAGTGACGTTCGGATTGGAACTTGGAAGTGTCAAAATGAGCATTTACCATGCGAGATTTGACATGGTCATTGTTGCTCCTTCAAAGGATTAGGCATCGCAGCACGAAATTGCTTCAAGTTCGAGAAGGAGCCGTAACTTCAACTATTGATTAAATAAATGTAATAATACTACTTCTTGAGGAAATAGTGTATAAAATAATAGAAACAGAAAGCATAAGCTTTTAGTCGGTTATTCGAAGCATTTCTACCTTAGGAATATGAAAAGAAGTGGTGTAATTTAGTACCCATGACCAAATTAGAGTTTAAGCATATTAAAAAACAGAAGAAAAAAATTGGTGTATTGAGCATATCTATCCTATCTATCTTGTAATCTAAGCATGGATCTTGACATCTTGGCACTAAATATTCCGCCATCTTTCATTTTACCTATTAATTAGGAAAAAAATCATGATGCAAGAAATTAACGAAGAAAAAGTCCTTCATCAGACCAGATCCAATCCAATTAGATCGAAGCAATGCGAAAACATGTGATGAATTTGAATTTTTAGGATCAGAAGTGGATGCCAAATTTTATTTTATTTAAAAAAAATTAATAATATTTATTCCGTAGAGAGAGATAGGTATAAATAAAAAAAAATTAAAAAAAAAAAAGCCAATTAGCTATAACTCAATTGATACTAGTGTCTCTCCTCTCTTCAAAAAGTCTTGAATTCGAACATAACCAAAAAATTAAAAAAATATATATATGAGAAAGAGAATTTTATGGAAAAAAAAACTAAATGAAAATATTCTTATCGTTTTTTATGATATAAATGTAATTTTTACCTTTTTTGTGTTTTTTTAAAATAAATTTATAAAGTAATTTTTATTAATTACTTTCGAATAGTTTAAAATTTCTTAAAGGTGGATGCACATAAAACTAGTCCTGATTTTATCCATTATCATCCCTAGCTGTTGATATTTTAGATTTAAGTACTTTTCAAATTTAATATTATGCAATCTTAAACATATAATAGAAGTTTATATATCAGTCATAATTATATATATAAAAAAAAGTGGGGTAAAAAATAACAATAATGTATTAGAAATAATTTTTTTTTCTTAAAAAAAAAAATGATACAGAGAGGAATATTTGTTTGGTGACTCCAAAAATTTTCAAAAACACAGACTTCACAAAATGCAACTTGGCCTATAAAGAAACTAATTTAGTCAATAACATGCACCAACTTTGCTGAGGTCTCATTAGTTGACCAATTATGAAAAAGTCAGATAATTGATAAGAGCACCAAGAAGAAGTCTAGTATTTTTCAACTACTACATCCCATGCCCATTAATTCCAGCATTGATCAATAAGATATTTGATGAAATCATTTGGTGAGCCGCTCCCATCAATTTTCAAAAGAAACGCTTTCGAGCCCATAAAGTTAATGAGTTTACACCTAATTTGACCTAAGTTTGGGCTTCAACTCTGACGAGAGTTCTAGATTGCCCCATCATATTTTAATTCCACACCTTTTCCCTTCTTGAATATGAAGCCGAAAACGTACCCACAGCTAATGATTGAAGGTTGACATTTGGAAATCACAAGATCTTCTGATTTAGGTAATTATGTTTAAGATAAAGAAAGGGAAAATATGCACTTCACCAGAAAGTGCAAGGCAGCAACCACCTGGTCTTGACAGGGTAAACCATTGTTAAGTCCTATCCACCGCCCACCCACCAACAAGCTCGATTAGATTAACATTATCATCCATTAGATTAATTAATTAGTCTGAACTAAACCCAGTCAGTATTCTTTTTCTTGTTCTTTTTTCTAAGGGTGTTTTGGTCATTAGAAAATAGCCTCGCAATCGAATGAGTTAATTATAACTTAGTCTCTATAGTTTAACAAAATTAGTTATTTAGTCCTCATAAGTTTAAAAGATAATATTTAATCCTTATGTTTTAAAAACCGTCAGAAAATTGGTTCTTTTATCGATTTCATATTCTTTTCTATTTTTTAAAAAAAATATTGAAAAAAAAGAGAGAAATAGGTGAAATGAAAATATTTCATTAGGAAAGAATGTAAGAATTTTTTAAAATAGATGCTTAACTTTTGAGAGTGGAATGTGATTTTTATATAACTAAGTTAAAGGTATATTAGCTTTCATTTTTTAAAACATGGAAAGTGAAGTATTTTATAAGACTCTTATTTTATTTTAAAAATAAAAATAACTTTAAATATCTTAAAATTATAAAAATGCATACAGTGTAGTTTATCCTAGTAGATATATACACTACTATTATAGTTTTTAATTAAATTATTTAGTAGTTTTATTTACTTTTTTAAAAAACTATATAATGTTTTGATTCTTGTTTATTTCTCTAATACACACACCTATTATGTTTTTCAATTAAATTATGTAGTTGTTCTATTTATTTTGAAAAGAAACCATGTAATGTTTTTCTTTTACTAATGTTGTTTATGATATTTGTTATTTTTCCAACTAAAGAATTTATTTTTAAACAATTCAAGTTAATTTGTTAAACAATATTTTTAATTTAAATCATGTTCTTATAGTAATTTTAATTCAAACAACAAGATAATAGGTTATCAAACAATAAACGATTTTACTCACAACATAACACATTTATTGATTACTAAAGATTTAATATGTTTAATCTTGTACAACAAAATAGTCATAACACAACAAATACAATACAACGAAGTCAAACATGTTCGTTATTAAAATAACATAAAAACTAAATATTCATAAATGATTTTTTTTTTAAGTAAAAGATGAATATTATCATATGTGAATTCATATATATGGTATACATGAGTACTCCAATGCGTTTATTCTTCTTAATCGGAATAGATATCTTTTTGAACCAAGTAATGAAGATGGCTAACGTTGATCTCAAGGGTGTTTAGTTATTTTTAACACTACGATGACTAATTGATTAGTTATGATACAGTACTGGGACCGAATTATAATAAATGGCAAATAGGAGCATGGTGGCAACTTCCCAAAACGAAGTGGGAACAACCGAATCAACAACAACTCTCTGAAATTTTCAAGGGCGAACAAACCCAAAAGCATAGGACAAGGGATCGATATCCATTCAGAGAAATTTATTAGGTATTCTTTGCTAGGAGTTGTATTCCCTTCTCCAACAATAACATCTATTCTCAAATTTTGGGAGAAGAAGAAGAAGAAGAAATCTCAATCTGCAATTCTCCAACGATTTCCATTTTTATGGCTGTCACTAAACAGCCATGGCTTGTTCTCCATCTACTGTTTTTCCTTTCAGTCATTGCTTTCTCTTCTTCAATATCAAATTCTCCTCAAAATATTGAAACTTTTTATCCATTTCTTTTATCTCCATCTCCGGCTCCACCTCCTGCACCGACACCAAAACCCTCTGCTTCTCCGAATTCTACTATATTGGGTCCATCAGCGCCAGCACCTTTGCCTTCGTCGTCATCGAACAGAAATGTTGTTAAGGCAGTAGCTGCAACTGCTGCAAGCACTTTTGTCGTTGCCACTTTGCTCTTCTTTTTAATCCAAAGGTTCGTAATCGTTCCTCGAAGGAAAAAGAATGGAGATGGTGCTGATTCCAGAAGAGGTCAGGCAGTGGTGCCTCTGCCTCACGGTCAGTTTTCTCGAATGGAAGGGAATGTTAAAGGATTGATCGTTGATGAGAACGGATTGGATGTTCTGTACTGGAGAAAACTTGAAGGAGAAGACAAGATAAACAGTTTTCGCAAAGAGGAACTCAGGAGGAAATCTAAGTCTGAGCCCATACAAGAAATTCCTTTGCTTCGAGGAAAATCCTCCACTTCAGAGAAAAAAGTTTTACCAGAAACAACAGTTCCTACCGTCAGTTATCAATCTATTGGCGCTGAGACTGTTGTCAAGGCCATTGAAAAACCAAATTTAACAAGTCAACCATCAAATCCTCCTATTACCCTGTCTCCAGCACCGCCGCCACCGCCACCACTTCCACTACATTCTTCAATGGCAATTCCAAACAAGCAAGTTCCTGTACCGCCTCCACCTCCTACAATCACAGCAAAGAAAAATCATCCACCACCACCTCCACCACCCAAGCCAGATGGTTTGGCAGCATCTTCAAATCTGCCACCATTGCATAAAGGGTTCCCAAGTAAAGGTGAATCAGCGGAGTCTTCACCTGGACAAGGCAGTACTGCAGGGACTGGGAATGGTCAGGTGAAACTGAAGCCGTTGCACTGGGATAAGGTGAACAAGAATACCGGCCAGTCCATGGTGTGGGACAAAATTGATGGTGGCTCTTTTAGGTAATTGTGGTTCATCCTTTTTGCTTGAATATGATTGTATTTAAGTAGTTCAATATCATGTTCTATAGATTGTGAATTTTTTTAATGTTTCAGGGTTGATGATGATCTTATGGAAGCCCTCTTCGGATTCGTTGCCACCAACAGGAAATCCCCCAAAACAGACAACAAATCAAGCAGTTCAAACAATGTTAGTTCCATTCCACCAGCACAAATTGTTATCCTTGATGCTCGAAAATCCCAGAACATGGCAATTGTTCTCAAATCTCTGGCAATCTCTCGCAATGAACTCCTCGATACATTAACTGATGGTCAAGGTCTAAATGCAGATACTCTTGAAAAGCTCATGAAAATTGCCCCAACCGAAGAGGAAGAGTCCCAAATCCTTGAATTCAGGGGAGATATTACTAGACTGGCTGATGCTGAATCCTTCCTCTACCATCTTCTGAAAGCTGTTCCATCTGCATTTAGTCGTCTTAATGCCATGCTTTTCAGATCAAATTATGATGCAGAGATTCTTCACTACAAGGAATCTTTGCAGATACTTGAATTAGGATGCAAGGAGCTTCGAAATCGAGGACTTTTTATGAAACTTCTGGAAGCCATTCTCAAGGCTGGTAATCGCATGAACGCGGGAACTTCTAGAGGAAATGCCCAAGCTTTCAAACTAACTTCACTTGGAAAGCTCTCTGATGTTAAGAGCATCGATGGAAAAACTACTTTACTTCACTTTGTCGTGGAAGAAGTAGTCCGAGCTGAAGGAAAACGTTGTGTTCTTAACCGAAATCGTAGCTTGAGTCGAAACAGCAGCCAAAGAAGCAACAGTAGTGTGATTTCTGAGAATCCAGCCTCAAAAGAAGACAGAGAGAAGGAATATATGATGCTGGGATTACCTACGGTAGGAGGGCTTAGTGCTGAATTCTCTAATGTAAAGAAAGCAGCCCAAATAGATTATGATACCTTTGCTGCTACTTGCTCAGCTCTCGCAGCTCGTGCAAGAGAAGTTAGAGCATTTGTGTCACAATGTGCTGCTGCTAATGGCGAAGAGGGATTTGTAAGGGAAATGAAAGGTTTTCTTGAAGCAGCTGAGGAGGAATTAAAGGGCTTGACAAAAGAGCAGAGGAGGGTGATGGAACTTGTAAAGAAAACAACAGAATATTACCATGCAGGAGCTTCGAAGGATCAAGAAGCACATGCACTTCAACTATTCGCCATCATTAAAGACTTCCTATCTATGGTTGACCAGGTATGTGTTGAAATTGCTCGAAATCTGCAAAGGAAGAAAACATCATCATCGTCATCGTCAAGTATTGAATCCTCCCCCAAGCCCCCAGCAGCAAGAATGCCAGTGAGGTTCCCAAACTTGCCCCAACACTTCATGAAAGAAAAATCTATGAATAGTTCTAGTGAATCGGATTCAGATTTTTGAATACATGTGTCAATACTCATGGAAGGGAATGGTTTGTTGTATATAATTGTAGGTGAGTTATTTTTGGATTCATCAAATTGATTTTCCAGTTCTATATGTGTAAATAAACAATTTTTTCGTTTCCGTTTTCCTTTTCCTTTTTTTTTTTTTTTTTCATGTTTTAAATTTGTCAATTTCTTTGGAAGTGCAAATGCTTTATAACTGATGCTATAAGAAAATTAATCAAGATGTTAATAGGTAAATCTCAAGCTACCCCCAAAACATCACTACGGACTTAAAGGTGCAAACCTGGTGTGAAAAACACTGCTTTTTTTTTTTTTAATGGTAATCTATACAGTGAAGTTATATCCTCATTACATATAATATGGGGAAAATATTTGATTTATGTGATGGAAATGGAATCATGAGCACAAAACAGTGCATTTCTTTCCGGTTATGCGCTATGAATTTCATGCTGCAATTGACTGAGAAACACACCACACCACTTCTGGGAGATGTGCGTCGGTTTGAACAGAAAATGAGAAAATAGAAGTAAGCGAGGGCCAAAATCGAAATGAGAACATAGAAGTAAGCGAAGGCCAAAATCGAGTCTTGCCTTCCTTTCTCATCGCCCTTGGCTGGAGGAAATTTCCCTTCTTTGGCTTCATGAATCCCAGCCATATAACGCTTAGAAATAAATACAGTCGCTCGCAATGCAAGAACGAAAGTCTGGCTGGAGCCTGGACTTCGCTACTATAAGCTGGTTGTTGTGGCTAAAATGTACTTCTTGCCCATGTGGAAGATAATTTTTGTTACGTCCCATTAAGTGATGCTTTAGGCGAGACCTGTAGGTAACACTAACATTGCAGATTGAGCTGTCCTCTCCAAATTACAAAGACATCAATTTCCTTCATGCTCATTGAAGTTCAAGCCCAACACAAGCAAGGTTGAACCTCATGCTGTGTAAATTTGCAGGACAAGATAAAATAGAAAATGCATCTTCACAAAAGCAGAACATTGTGCCATCACAAATATATGTAAAGTACCTATCTAAACTACTACAAGGCCTCCAGCATCTCTTCACGATTTGATATTTTTGATCTCGCACAGCAATTTTTTTACTTCTCCGTTCGACTACACATACATGCCTCCAGAGTTAATGAGTGAAACAGGGCGGTCTTCACCTCTTTGTGTTTTATGTCACAAATAATCTCCTATCTATTCCAGACAACATGATTGATATCCAGTTTCTCTGGTTGCAATTCTAATATACAGTATGCAACTGAGCTTGCCATTTGCCAAGTGATACTCTCATGATGAGGTTCCTTGTTGGAAAGCAATTCCTCCGCTCCATATGTACAATCCTCATCAAGAAATATATGCATGCAGCATCCAATGTGAAAGGGTTACCCTTGAGCACTGTTTCTTGAAAAAATTTCATTATATCTAATTCCTGATAGATGATGTGTACTATATCCGAACTGTCTTGGAACCCTCCTGCATATATCAACATGACAATAAGTGTATCAGTTCTCGCATTCATTGTAACCCTCAGTTTTTGGTGCATAACTCGTTCTTTTCTCTCTCTAATCCTCAACAAAAAGCCCATTGAACAGGGAATATGACTTTATGGCACGATTTAGAAGGAAATTCAGGGGACAATGACTTCAAAACATAGCGTTTGAACATGTTTGCATGCTCCTTCAGTCTCGAGATAATTCAGGAAAACAAACAATATTTTTCTTTTTTTCCAATTCATTGCTCTATTTCCCCAGAATTCATATATTGGATTCCCCTGATTTCAGACGGATAGGGTCTGGAAGCTTAAATCAGATACACATTATAAATTTACATGCTCCTACAAATGTTGATATGCAGCATAAAAAGATGCATATCACTTATCAAATGGCATGTAGTGTTGACAGTGACAGGTGATCCATCATGTTTCCTGTGACACATTTTGAGTGATGGCCAATGGTCAGACAAAAAGCTTAATTTTAAGCAAGGCAGCAATAGGCCTCTCCGCATCATCCAGCCCCACCAGACTTGATAAACACCAAAATGTTAGGTGGGGAATGGAGAAAGACAACCACGACAATCAATATTTGACTATTTAGAAATTTTAATATTGTTTCATTATTCAAGATTTTAATATTTTTAGGAATATCAGTATTTTTTATTTAGTAGTTAAAGTAGGAATTTGGTTTATTCTAGTATCCTTTACGAATTAAGACTATTTAATACGTTTTTCTATTTTATTTGGTTTGGTGACTATAATAAGCACCCTACCTAGACAATGAAATCACAACAAAAATCGAGTTTTCTTGATGATTGGTTCACTAGTTTTGTGATCTTGTTGATAGTTCTATACCAATGGTAGTTGACTATTAATATCCAAATTTTAAATTCCACAAAGCACTGACACATAGGGAGAAAATATAAATGTTTTCTAACATTGCGCACATAGCAACATATAGACAGAAAAATCAAAAAGGAAAGCCAAAGGCAAAGACCTGGCTGTGTGCCTCTAAGTAGTGTATAACGTTTCAAACCCATGTAGATCAGTCAATGTAATTTCTACCTCATAAGAGTAGAAAAGGACTCGAACAATACATACCTTATCTAATGGGCTTTTTGATGCCTTCTGTCCTCTATAAAAACCTGGCATGGGCGTGGCTTTGAAATTAAAGCTCTGTCTTAGCTTTTTAATCTCTGCCTCTTTTTCCTCCTGTGCCAAGTATGTAGCATGAAAGTCATTCAGATTTGTATTGTTTTAATGATCTAATGGGGCTTAATATTTAGGTAACACTGTCATCCAAGAAATCCATAGCAAGAAAAAAAATGTGTTGGTATAAATACGTGCACACAAGCACACAGAGACACTTGGCTGCATTCTTCTTTGAAACTATATTGATCTGTTTTTGGTTCATTGACACATCACAGCAATTTGATAATAACAACGAAAATGAGGATATATGGAAGTGTACCTTTGATTTTGTTCGAAGGCGCATGCTCTCTGCCTCCTTAGTGTTGGATTTTCCTTCCAATTTCTTAGAAAACTGAAATTTATTTTAAAATAGATCTTAACTTTAGTGGCTAACAGAAACCAGCATTGTGTGCTCAAGATGTCAAAAGCTTTCCCTAAAAAATTGTCCGACAGAGAGAAGGGTAGTAGTGCAAAGGATATACCTCTTTCCTTCTCTCTGCCTTTTCATCACTTTTCAAGACAAAAGAAGTTGGTGCGAGCTTAGCAGTTCTCCTATCCACCCCGCCAGATTTGATAGACCTATCACAAAAATCAATGCAACACTGAACTTTCTATACAAGATAAATCTTTTAGGTGTTTGCACAAGAGCAGCTTAGTGGAAGTAAAAGACATCATTTCATGATGTCACTCTATGAATCATAGATATGAACGTTAAACTAGATATCTCTCGCAGACCAATAAATTACAGGAAAGTGTGTGCAAATTAGCATAAGCCACAAATTCTGTGATGTTAGAAAGACATGAGACAAATTATAAATAAAGAGAGGAAGTAGAGATGACTGAACTGAAAAACAAAATGTCACCTATAAAAGGCAAAATAAGTAAACTTCAATGTGGATGCATTTGCTAAAGTTAGCCAACTTAGTTGTTAAAGTCACTTGATATGGCACCAAGCAACCTGGAATAAAATCCCGCACGCATGTGATGGGAGAGATTAAGGAAGGGAGAGGGATAGCTCCCATCATGTAGCTGAAAAGTCAACAGGCCTTCCTATGAATCAAAAAAACAAGTAGCACCAACCAAAGAACGTGACTATGATAAAATTGTAGAGGTTTTATGATTATATAAGCTCAGGATTAGATCTAGATATATTTAAAATGCCTAATCAGAAATGATGCGCATGACAGAAATAAAGTAAGAAGAGGACCATAAGGATGAGAATTCTGGATTGACCAACAAGGTAGTTTGCAGATGATGGCTATATTACAAGATAACACAGATTAAAACAAGTATTTCTAAGAAAAGAGTTTAATTTTGTTCCTATCTCCAATCTTAGCTTTCACCTTCTCCATTATCTCCATTGTTCGTTGTTAGAGAAAATAACTTAAATTTCAAACCATCCAACAGATGGAATTGAACATGTTTGCAAATGTTAATATGCAAACATAGCATGTTGCACAAGTTGCGCAAATGTATGCATGCAATGATAAACACATTCATCGGGACACAAAGTAGACAATTCGAACATTACCCTCCATTCTCCTTTCGTGGTGTCATAGACGTGGAAACCTTAATGTCTGTCCCTTTTGCAGGCACCTGCTCAAGAAAATTGAAAATTTGAGATTCAGCAAGCCATATTTCTTTAGGTAGTAAAATGATTTTAAAGGTCACGTCATGAGCCTAATCAGATGGCAAACCTGCTTTGCTTCAATAGATCTATCTTCAGCAGAAGATTTCAACTGGCTGAAATTGTTTTGGAATGTCTTAAATGCTCTTTTGACAATGTCCTTATCCCCCATTTTCTCCATAATAAATGATTTTCTTGTAGTTGTACGAGGAGCTGGCTCAGAATTTGGGGACTCCATGCTCAGAGACATGTGCAAGGATTTAGGAGTCGCTTTCTTATTCCCTCCAACAGGAGGATTTTTGCCCCTTGGTAACAATGAACCATTAGCATTTTTTGTGGAAGACCGTGATGCAGACCGTGAACCAGAAGTTGACGCAGGCTTTGAGACCTTCGGAGTGGAAACTTGGGGCCGTTTAGTTACAGGTGCTTCTGGTTTCTTCTTTGCCCTTGCCGTATCTCTAACCTTGCTCATTGGAGTAATCTAAAATAACAGTATAGCAAACGAGTCACTAATATTAATAAAGCACCAAAGTTGCAAGAGGTGTACAAAAGCTCTCTGCATTTAGCTTTTTTTCTATGGCAATGACTAGGTTCAATAGCATAATTGTTCACCTTTGGAGATTCCTTCTGATGATCTAACTTCACTTTTTCCTCTTTGATCATAAGGATGCTTTCCATCTCTTTCTCTGAGTTCTTTGGGAATTCCCTCATGTCTTGAGACCCAGATTCCTCCTCTTTAATTAAACCCACTTCTTCCAACTTGGTTGACACAGGGCTATCTAATCTGCTATCCTGTTCTTTCACTCTCCCATTCAACGAGGCTTGACCTTGTACATCAATTGCAGCATCTTCATGAAGCTCATTCAACGAGGCTTGACCATGTACATCAATTGCAGAGTCTTCATGAAGCTCATTCAACGAGGCTTGACCATGTACATCAATTGCGGCGTCTTCATTAGCCTCGTCGATATGGCCACCATCCCACTCATTTCCAAATTTGGTTTCGTGCCTAATCCCTTCTGCAGAAGTTTGGCCACTATCAAAGTCTGAATCCGTCTGACCAGCCTTACCCATTAGATCTCCAATTTTTTTATTGTTTTCCCTCGATAAATAATGTTCCATTTGCTTCTCCTGATCTATTAGCTCAGCCTTTTTAGCGGCAATCTTTTTGTAATGTGCCTCAAAGTAAGCCTTTTTCTCAGCTACAGATCCAGGAGTGGCACACTTCTCAACTTCCTCCAAGTACTTATTTTGTGAGAAGGATGACCATTTATCCCAAGACAAAGAATCATTCTCAAATCTACCAAATGAAACCGACACTTTAAGAGGATCTGAGGCAGCTGTCCCTCCTATCTGTTTATGTAATCACAAAGAACCAAAATTCAAGCAAGAAACAGAATGACAGCTCATTGCTACACAGAAACAGAAAGCACAGGAATTTTTGCAAACATGGTTGGAAATCAATCAAGAATCTACAACAAAAATAAATAAATTCAAGAATGATAACTAAATCCTAAACAAATGGGCCACATTTTTACAGATCAAGGGACAAGTGAGTGTACCTTATCTTCGTAACTTGAGGCAGCAACTAATGATTCACCCATATCTACACAACACCACTCCAGAGGTGAATGAATTACCACACAAAGACACAAACAGCTTACCCTATGGCCTGTAACAGCAATGGCACGCCATCAATTCATTGAATCACAATAAAAAAGACTAAGAATAAGCCATTGACAATGGATCGAGACAAAAAGAAGAAAGAAATGAGAAAGTAGAGATGGGGGCACGTGATTGGGTTTCGAAGTTCTGTTCTTTTTTCTATTTTAGTAAATGGGCTGTTTAATTGTATTATCACTTCACCTTTTTCACCGTAATGAGATCTTTGTCAGTTTCTGGTACTTGGGGAAACTACTGATAACTCAATAATCAGACAGAAAGCAATTACATAAAGCAACTTAGAAAGCGTTGTAAAAGGCTGTTTTCTTTTTTCCCTTCCTGTTTCAAGCACCAAAGAAGAAAAAAAAGTTGAAGAGTTACGAGGAAGGGTTGCTGTTTAGGCTGAGTCGTCATGGAAAAAGAGAGATTAAAAAAACTTAAAAAGGGTTGAGCTCCCATTATGGAAGATTGAATTCAACCAAAGAAGAGAAAAGTAAGCAAGCACATTGATTGCGCAAAGATGTACTATGATTACAACCAAACTTTTTAACCAAATATCGTTAGTTGCTCAATCATGGATTTTGATTTGTTTTGGTCAGAATCAAGTAAGGCCAAAGTAGTAAAAGTAATGAGAAGAAGCATGAAAAACAAGGTAGAAAGGCGGTCCACCACCACTACCATAGAAGAAAGTCGAGAGTAGCAGTGAAGAAGAGAGAGTAAAGCAAGTGACAGTAGATAGATCTCTGAATTTAATATCTCGCCAGCCATTGTGGACCCTTGGATTGAATCTGTTGAACTGAAAAGATCTCTCCCACTTTAGATTTGCGAAATATTATCGATGACACAGGAAATATGTCCAAGAAGATAAAATGATAGATTAATGATGTCGGTCCAAGCCAAACGGAGTAAATTATAAATTAGTCCATTTAGTTTCTAGAAATGAATTAACTGATCCTACTTATTTATAAAAATAATTATTTAGTTATTATATTTTTCTCATAATTTAATCATTTTCGTTTTTTTTTCAATTTATTTTTATGAAAATTAAATTAATCGTGATCAATATTTATCAAGTTATTAAACAATCAGCTTTAAAATAAATAAAATTAATTCATTCATTTCTTTTAAATAAAGGGAACAATTGATATTTTACTCAAGCAAACTGTTACTATTTAATTTTGTTCTCTTTGGATCATCATTTACTAATGTAACAGATGAGGGTTATAAACAGCTGCACATGAATTTTCACTTCATCTTTTTCGTGTTTACTGATTTAAAATGGGAGAACGACGGATAGCATTATGAATAATTAAAAAAAAATTTACATGCAAAGAGGTACTGAATTTTCATCGATCAAATCTTCTGGTACCATTCATTTTGGAGTTTATCTTATAATTAATTTCGGTATAGTTTTAATTTTTTTTTAATTGAGATTTTTTATTATTTTTCAGCTTGATTGAAACTCCATGCTCTTATAAATTTGTTAATTGAAACCCTTCGTTATAACGTCGTTAACTTTTCATCATATGTGATAAGTTAAAACTAATGATAGCCAATCAAGAACTAACACATAACAAATTTTTTTGATCCACATTTTCATGTGTTAGTTCCCGATTGACATGTGGGATGAATAGTTAATAGCGTTATAATGGAACGTCTCAATCAATAAATTTATAAAGTAGAAGGTTTCAATCAAGCTAAAAAATAATAAAGAATCTTAATCAAAAAAATTGAAACTATACAGGGACTAATCATGATAAACCCATTTATTTTGCTGACAGAAACATAAAAACTCTAAAAATCTGTGCAGTTTCAATACATAATAACACTATTTGTCTCTTGGGCTCATGCTCCTGCCAACTTGATCTTAAATCCACTCTTAACTTGCCTTGCTATTTCCTCCTCTTAATGCTCTTAAGCTACTCAATCACCTGCTGTCCTCCACGTTTGTTATATTAGTTTTATGAAACATCACCATCCACCATCCACCATCTACTATATATGCAAGTGTAACTCCTAATTTCTATTTCAAGTTCACTTCTTTAAACTGAATTCTCACAAGGACAGCATGAGAAAAACCAATCATTCCTTGCTTCATTTACTCCTCACCCTAACTCTTTTATTGGGCTCTACAAAACCAGACCCAGACCCACTACAAGATTACTGCATCGCCGATACAGCCGAGCCTTCTTACATGAATGGTGCACCCTGCATCAACCCCAACTTTGCAGCTCCTTCCCATTTCACCACATCAGTGCTATCCGAGCCAGGTAACACAAAAGCCACTCCTCTCGGCTTCAGCGTCAAACTCACCAACATCACTAATTTGCCAGGGCTAAACACCATGGGCATGACCATGGCCAGGGTTGACCTAGACGCACATGGCCTCGTGCCACTCCACTCTCATCCACGGGCCTCAGAAGTGACCATTTGCCTCCAGGGTACCCTCCTTGTGGGCTTTGTTAATACAAGTAATTACCTGTTTACGCAACGGTTAAGGCCTGGTGATTCATTTGTGTTTCCAAAAGGTTTGATTCATTTTCTATATAACGAGGAGACAATGGGCCCAGCAGTAGCTATGTCTGGGCTCAATAGCCAAAATCCTGGAGCCCAACTATCTGCTGTTGCCGCTTTCACGTCAAAGCCTTCTATACCTGATGAAGTTTTGAAGAAATCATTTCAAATTACTGGCCAAGATGTCATGAGAATCCGCAAAAACCTTGGAGGATAATTAAAAATTATACATTTCCATTCAAAAAAGTAATTAAAAAAATTTATATTTATTTTTGTCCAACTTAGGTGTTTTTTTTTTATGTTGAAAGTCATTGTCGTTGCCTTATTTGGTGGGCTTTATCGCAGTAGTGTTGTACATTGGAAGGTAGGAGGTTGGATTCATGCACAAAAAAAAAAAAAAAAAAAATATATATATATATATATATATATATAGAGAGAGAGAGAGAGAGAGAGAGAGAGAGAGAGAGAGAGAGAGAGAGAGAGAGAGAGAGAGTAGACTGGCCGACTCTTCCCTTTAAAATTTATATTGTTTAATGAATACAAAATCGAAAGAGCTGTTGTTACGTGCTTGTTAAGCTTGCGTATGGAAGAAGTCGAAACAAAAGTATAGACAAAAATGAATGATTGACAAAGAAACACTAGAAAGCAACCCGATTAATCAGAGTAGAATTGTAGGGAAAGAGTTTATATTATTATTACGCTCCCTCTACCAATCCAACGGATCCGACCTATACATCGTTTGACCTCTTAATAAAATAATCCTTGTAGTCTTTTTTTTTAACAAAGCATTGATCATTTATCTGTTCTGGTAGATCCAATCATGGCCATCTCATAACTAATCTCACAGAGTCATGTTTCTTTCCTTGGAAAAATGGATTTGTGGGGGGTGGGACACGTAAAAAAGCAGCAGTCGTAACTTTATTATAAACTCTTTCCCCAACCTCACCTCACAACACATCTGATAGAAAAGATAACACTAAAACCTCGATCGATCCATTGTGTTTCAATATAAGCATACGCACACGTTTTCCCCCCACAAAATCAGAAGTCCAAATTGGAGTTTTTTTCAAATTTTGAGAACTGAGAACTTCTAGGACGACGACCCAGTAACCAGGTGGGTTGACAGAGAAATTTTATCGCACTCGTTTTCGACATGGCTGCAGTGCGCAACGCAACAATTTCTCTGATCTCATGGCAAGACAAGTGTAGAAGAAAAAGTTGGCTAGTCACGGTCAATTGGGATGTTTGTAATTGAATAGATCAAAAGCTTGATAGCTTCCTTTCAACTTCTGGAATTAAAAAGACCATGACATGAAACTTCTAATTGCTACTGCTATTGGAATAGAAAGGAATCGAAAGAGTTCCAACAAGAATAAGCCATTTGTGAGGTGGGGTGGGGCCTAAAGTGTTGAAAATATTAGCTTAGCCACTTAATGAGGGAAGCGTGTCAGGCTCTTACGGTGCCCTACCTCCCAATCCATCCTAATAAAAGTTACAAAACCCCGTGAGCTGGACAAATCAAAGTTCATTGCTTCTTCCTTCCAACTTTTTTCTTTACTGGGTGAATCCTGTGATCAATGATTCAAAGGTGATACAATTGCCGACAGTTCGCACATCAAAATTCAATAGAAATATGAGTAGTTTTCTTGGTTACAAACCAAAAACACATAAAACAAGGACAAGAAAAAAAGAGTTGAAAACAATGAACAACTAATAAGTGAAAATGAATGAATGTATGTTATTCCTCTTTTGATTGCTAATTACATACACAGAAATCAGATCCAACAAAATTGTCCCCAGCACTGGAACCTGAATAACAAGGAACTGAAATCCTACATGTAAAGAAATGACAGATGAACATGAGTATCTATTCAAAAAGAATTGAACCCCCAAATCAACCCCCAACCTCACAATCTGGTCTGTACATAACAAGTATATCAAAGAATATAATTTCTTCAAAATGTGCAGTAGTAAGTACCCAAAAAAATGAAATGAAAAAGAATCAACCCATCCCATCCCAAATTCCATCACATGGAACCTGTAAAAAGCCCCATTGACTGCGGGTCATTGTGAGCATAGAAATACCCTTTCTTATTGCGGACATACAAATCATAAGGCTCCCAGAGATGATCAAGCTTGCATGGCTTTTTAGCATCAAGTCTAACCCAAGGCTTCCCTTTCCCACTCCAATGTAGCAAACTGACTGGACCAGGATGCAATGACCTGCAACTCCCTCTCACATTATCCCCGCCAAGTCCATGTTGGTTCCACCTATGATCTATTGCTTCCACATCCCCTGCAAACACCAGTAAAAATGGTGGCAATGAGCCCAAATCGTAAATCCTTGTCTTTCTCTGCACCTCCATCCACTTCTCTATCCTCCTCCTATAATTCCCTTCTCTCCACCTCACCAAATCCATCACCATAACCCCAGTATTGAAGTAACACGGCTTCCTCCTCGCCGACGAAAAAGCCCCAGACAAAACCGGGTCGGACCAGAACCCGGCAGTGAAATACAGGGTGAAATTCGCATGGCAATATTCGGGGGCCCCTATCACCCGAGACCCACTAAGTTTGGTGTTCCATAACTTGTGTATGTCGTCCACAACCACGACATCAGAGTCCAGATAAATGACCCGATCAACGCAGAGATCCAACATGTCACCCAGATAGTTCCTTGCGTAATTCAATGGGTTTTCCAGTGCTTGCCGGATTGAAGAAGAGATTAGATTGATTACAGTGTCTTCTCTGAATATATAGACCTTGAAATTCAGAGACGGAAAAGTGGATCGTACCAGTTGGGTCAGGACCCGTGGGCTTGCCGGGTCGAACTCTGCCGCAATGAAATGGAAGAAGATGCTTTCTGGGCAGGAAGCGTGTTTTATAACCGAGTGGACGGCTGCGATTGAGCCACGTAGATACTCAGAATCAAGAGTCATGGCTATGTGGATTAAAGAAGGGTCGCAGGAAGAGACTAAGCGCCCATTGGTCGTTGAAACAGGACAGTCTCTCCCGTTTCGGTAATCCGGCGCTTCAGCGAATCGAAACCCGTTGAGTACTTCAACTGCATCGGTATTCGCCTCCCTCGACGGTATGGAACGAATCCCGAGGCAAAGTAGAGGGAAAAGAACAACGAATGTGAAGAATATAACGCCGGCCTGTAACCGGAAATGAACCATCTTGGTTCGTTTTTTTTTTTTTAAGGGAACAAGCTAGGAGAGGGTTTGTTTTCTTTTGAGGCGTTCTTGAATAGAAATCAAGAATTGTCAAAATGTGAAAAATGAAATCAATATATGCATGCGTTTTCAAAGAAAACGCGGTTTTCCTTTTCGTTTTCTTTTTCGTTTCTCGGTCCCAGAGAGGGACAGAGAAATTTCTGAGTAACTGTGTATGTGCTGCTTCTCTCTCTCTGGAATATGGACATGGGGAGAGAAGTTTGCAAGTTTTTATATACTCCAGTTACTAGGAGGAGGAGGAGGAAGAAGATGAAAGAAACTGCTTATTAAACAAGAAAGCAAGGAATGAAGGCAGAGGCTCCTTTCTGTAATTTCGCTTTCTTTCCATTTTTAATTGGACAAACCTCATATTAGTCCTCAACTATAAGTAGTTTCTTGATTGAGTCATCCAACTGTCATTTTTTATCAATTAAGTCTCACATCTATGTACTTTTCCTCACCTTAATCCTTCTGTTGAAATATAATTGAAAGATGTCAAACATGCTGATGAGTTAAATCATATTAAGAAACAATGGAAGCAATTTTATACACTAACTAGGCATGTTTTACTACAAGTACTGAATATACGAAAAATTACTTCTTCTTCTTCTTCTTCTTCTTCTTCTTCTTCTTCTTGTTTTAAGAGTGAGAAAGTTAGTGTTAATTAGAAAATATATGACTAAAATGTGGGATGTTTGTTTTTTTTACGCTATCTCTAGTTATTTTAACAGAAGTATTCGATTGAGGTAAAGCATCCTGATGGGAGGCCCAATTGATAAAATCTGTAGTTAAGGGACTCGGGAAAGGAACTGTATAAAGTTGGAAGACTAAAATGAGTTTTGTCTTCTTTTTTTTTTAATTCTTTGCATGGGGGAGAAGGGGGTTACTGTACTGACGCGCGATTGATAAGCGTGGATATTGGGTTTGAATGAGATACGCATTAGTTCGTGTATAGTTTAAATTTACGATCTTAACGTAATTACGCGGGTTAATTAAAGCTTATGCCTTTTTTGAAAAGATTTAAAAATGTCATCTCCTATTTGGGCTGTAATTCTTTTCTTTATTTATTGTGGTCGCCTTAACTCCATCCACCTTTGGTGGGTTGGTTGGCCCCCAATATGTGCTTTTTTCTCATATTATGTTGCTCCTCCTTCTCATAAATTACGAGTTCAAAAAATAACAAATAAATCAATAATATTTTCTTCTTTTTTTCAGTAGTTGCATGTTAATACAAAAATAATATTCTACGATAAAAAGTATTATATAAATTATTTTAAAAAATCATTCGTTTTTTTTTTTAAAAATATGACGTGGATAATTCAGAAGGTTCTTTGGAAAAGTTGGAAAAGTATTATGTTGGCTCTCAACGACGCCTTGAGTCTTTGACATTGTCATGATGTAATATTAGTGTAGTGTTACGTGTTTTGGTAGGCATTTTACATTTGCTACTACAGTGTTCTTATGAACATATTCTTTTAAATGTTGGTTGACCACTTCAAGGTCAATCTCTCATTGCCCAATTTCAAGATGCATGAATGGCTGATGGCCCTTCGGTTTCAATCTTTTTCATTGAATTGTAATAGTATGTTGATTTTTGCATTGAAAAGTGTGATACGCCTTATAGAAGCGTTCAATGAGAGAAATTATTTAGTATGTCAATAGTTGTATTATGTGTTTTATCACAAATTTAAAAATTATTATAAAATAATTCATAAATCTTATATTTTTGTGGGGAAAAAAAGAATACAATGTATTGATAATTTCTCCAATGATTAATGAAAAATAAGTTTCCAATTTTTTTTTAAAGAAAAACTATTTTGTTCTCCTTCCATTAATTAATTGAAAGAAAACAATCATCAAACAAATAAATTCTTAATTGAATAATCACATATTTTTTCATTAGGAAAAATCAATTTTTTTAACAAAGAAAAATACTTTCCTTTGAGGTTCAAGACTTTATATTCTTCCTTTTGTTATAACCAAAAAAAAAAAAAAAAAAAGCAGATGAGCTGATTAAATAAATTTTAGGTTCCTAAATTTAATTGTAAAACTAACTCGAACTTTATTTGCACTTTTCTAGATGTAAGATACCATGGTGTGGTTGAATAAGAAAAATAGTATCATATGAATACTTACAAGCAATTTTTTCAAAAATTGAATATTTTTATTAACAAAATGATGATTTTATGGATTTTAAAATATTTATGTACTTATAAATCAAAAAGATTAAAAGCTCGGTGTAACGAGTTTCACAAATTTCTTAACTAATTAAAATATTACTCCATAGTTTTAGAATGAATATAAAAAATTATTACGAGACTTTTCATGTACAATTATTTGTAAAAAACTAAGCACAAACAGATGAGTTGTACAGTGCAAAGCTAATGAAAATTTATACTCTCTAATTAAGGTAATTAATTTCAATTTTGAAATGACACGTCAAAGTTAAACGTAAGAAAAAGAAAATAAAAGGTAAAAAAAAAGCCAGGTCATAAATAGTACGAGAACGAAGAAAAGAATAGTGAGAGCATAAAAATTAGGATGGGTAAGAGAGAGGCAATAACTTTCCAATTCTCTGCTTTTCATTTCCTTGGGAAGAGTAATATTCCTTGCCTCCAGTAATGAAAAGCCAGCTGTAGGTCCAATGCAGCCAGCTGTATGTACCCGACTTTGACATTGACGGCTGCGATCAAGCCTGGCACTGGCCCCACATCTGTGTCTCCCCTCTCTTGTTCTTGGATTCTCACCCACGTGACCACGTGCATCCCAACCCCAGCTATTCAGAGAGAGAGAGAAAGAGAGAGGAGACTTGTCTCTTTCCTCTGTTGCGTACAGTGTATTGTATTAGTATAATTTAGTCCTTGTAGTTTATCAAAACTCATCAATTAATTTCTTGATACTGTCAAAAATAATTAAATAATCCTTAATCAACTGTTTTCTTTTCTTATCCAATGCTCCCATCTCATTTCTCTTTTCTTTTTCTTTTTTTAATAAAAAAAAGCAAAATAAATTGAAAATTCACACGAAGTTAACAAAAAGTTTAATTGCGAACGAAGTTAAAAACATAGAAGACAAATGTATAATTTATAAAACTGCAAGGAATAACTAATTTATTTCATTAACTACAGGGACTAAATTTATAATTAACTCTTAAGACAAAACAAAAACGAGCACCGATTGGCATGGGAATAGTATTGCCATGGCCATTGCGTAGTGAGTGAGTGCACTGTGCACTAGCACGAAACGCTTAGCAATTAGGCAGGCATAAGGGGCGGCTTGCCCTGTTGAATCAGTCAGTGACCGTTTCAATTCTTACACGATCTCACGACTATCTCTTTTCCTTGCTGTCCTTAGAAAATTAAAAATAAAAGATCAAATTATCTCCATTTTCGCTTCACGCTTCATAAACTTGCATGTTCCTCGATCCTCGTTCTGTTTTTTCAGTTGAAAAAAAAATCACCACTTCGGAATTAACTATCTATTTAAATAAATAATATCAAAAAACAAGAAAATGATCATTGAAAATAATTTTTATATATACGATTTTAAAAGGTCATATTTACTCAATTTAATTTAATTTTAGGTTTAGATATTTTTATTTATATTTAATATCCTAAAAATTCAATTCAAAAATTGAAAAGAAGTTAGTTTAGTTACTTCATAAAATCATGAAGTAAAAATAACAATAAAAAAAAGAGAATATCTATATTTTTGTTTGATAACTAAAGATATATTCAAATCATCATATACATCGTTTGAATTAAATTTTTTGGTTAAATGATTTTAAAAACACGCTCTTTATACGCGTCAACAAAATAAATGTAAACTATACTCATGAGACAGTGGAAATCCAAACCTTTTTTTCTTTTTTCCTTTTTTGACAATAAAATCAAAACCTTTCATCCATTGGGTCGCCTTCAAACATGGTGAATACTCTTTTCCACGTGGTTTAGTATTTACCCCATTTGCAAGTAGGAAAAAAAATGTTTTGAAATTAATGGACCAAAGCTGAGACAATTGTGCATATTTTTATGACAGTAGTTCCTTAAAAAACAAGTGATGTAAGGTGGAGAAGAGCATCATAATTTGGAGTTATTAGTTATAAACAAATCTTAGTAATCAGAATTGGGTAGGATTTAGATTCCAAACGTAAACCCACTTGCCATAAATAAACACTGAATGTCTGAATTTTTTTTTATTTCTTCAAGACCTCGTTTGGCAAAGCAAATTAACTTTGCCTCCCGATGCAAGAAATGTCTTTTAAAGTTCCAACTCGATTGACCTTACTGTGCTTTCATTTTTTAACTCTCTGAAATCTGTGCCAATACAGAAATATTTTTATTTGCGGTTTCACTCCGCTACTATCTGTGTGCTTGGTACTTACCAAAGAAGGGTAATAAAATTGTGGATTGACTACCCGTGTGCGTTCAAGGAATATAAGATTTTTTAACTCTCATTAATTTTTTATTTTTATTTTATGGAACGTCTCATTCCATCCTTAATTTCAGCCCTAAGATTGAAATTTATTTTTGTCTTTATTTTCTAATCTTTTACTTAATTAGGCTTTAATATCAAATTTAAAACAGTCAATAAATTTTTATTAATACACATTTAACTTATAATTTTCAGATAATCTCTAAATGTCTAAAGTTGTACAAAAAAGCAGCGAATTAATTTTTTGTTTGAGAAACACTTTTATTTGTTTGCAAGTAAGATATTGTTTTTTTTTTTTTTTTGAGATTTTTGTTATTTTTCAATTAAAGGCATCTGTCACTAACCTATTTCCTCAAAAAAAAAAAAAAAAAAAATCTTTACTTTAACTCCTAAGGCATACAATTTCATAGGTTTTATTTATTATCTGTTTATCATACTTCACACATATCATCCATTTATCTGGTATAGAAGTTAACAAACTAAAAACATCGCTGTATTATTTTCTTGTCAATGGAAGGAATTTGTTTGTATAATTATAAAATTTTTAATCTATTTTAAACGCGGGTGGGTATCATTTTGAGAAGTTGGGGAAGTAGGTGTATTAATGGGTGGTGGGTGCATAGGATGCTCCCGTGTCTCTGAAGAGTTAAAGACTGACGTTTAGAAGCTAAGAGGTATCTCTATTCTATACAATATAATACGGCCACGAGTCTTGATGTATGATAAATCGATAACTCAGAAATATGCTAAAAGGGCACTGGCCGATGGCTGGACGGTGCTGTACTTGTCAGCTCATGAGTTATTTTTTTGGGAAATAATTTGCGGCCACGTGGAAATAAAACAAGGAGGAAAGATGAAACTTGAAAGGGAAAGGCAGAGTCTAGGCGGAGCCAAAAGTATGGTTTAAGCTGGGTGGACAAGTGGGACCTCCAATTAAGTACGTTCATGCTAGATGGTCCGGTCCCACTCAACCGAAGACATTCCAAGAGTTGGTGTTCAATAGATCCAGGTGGAGTGAATAGTGATAGAGCTGGTAAATCCTTCCTTCAACTCTGTTCTGGATCGAGTTTTCATTGGATTTATTTTAATATCCGATCAATTAAATAAAATTATCATCCTCGATTAATCGATGAAAAGGTAAATCTAACTATATAAAGTGATTTATTTTTTCTTAATTCTTGTATGGAATTCAAACTCCTCGTAAAACAAATTTCACTGGCATCCATTTTTAGTGAGCTTCACCGAACTTATCTTCGGGCCAGCTAAGGTATATGTTTCTGCAAACGAGATTATAGACTTTTAGTAAATAGAATTGCTACCAACCAAAATCTGTAGTGTTACAGTTCAAATCCAAGTTCTTTAATGAAATGAACAAGACAGTTTAGGGCATGCATGTGAATTGATCATGCATTATTCCAATACTAGTGGCAGTGGTAGGCTAAAACACATCATTTTGTTGAATATCTAATAGTCCAACTTGCCCGTGAAACTAACGTGTTTCTTGCCCCTCCTCGTCACAAATTACTTGCGAATTAATACGAGTACGAGGAGCATATTTTTTTATTAAAAAAAAAAAAAAACATAAAGATATAGTACTCTCTCGGTTGCATGGAGATTGTCTTCTTTTTTATCTGTATCTTTTAAAAATATTTGTTCAAAGTTTTTAATACTGTATTTTAAAAAAATATTTTTTTACTTTGTAATGTAAGATTAAATTGGATAAATTTTTTCCTAAATAAAAAATATTTTAAGAAAATATTATTAAAAAAAATACTATACGATATTATAATTAATTAATTTTTAAAACTGTCTGAAAAGTTAAAGAAACTATCAATTTGAGACAGAAAAAAAAGTACAAAATTAAAAAAAAAAAAAAAAATCAAAGCAAGAAAAATATTTGATGGATTTTGGATTTAAAATAGTACCATTACGTAGATTCAAGTACGACTTTGTCCTTCACGCATTAGCATTCCAATAGCACCTCCCTCACAAGATGGATTGTTATTATTATTATTATTATTTTGAGAAAGGAGATGGATTACATTAAGCTTTTGTATTAGCCTTTAATCAATCCGGCAGGTTGTTGGTCAACTTATCTATATTATATATTTTCATGACTTTCGCCTTCTACAATCATTAACATGCAATATTTAGGAGCATGTTTAACATTCTTGAAAAATAACCTTTAATTCATAATGACTAGTTATTGATCAATTTTTTTTGCAGGTCACCATGTTGTAGGATTTTAATTCTAGAATTATTCGTATTATGGAGTAATACTTAGGGGCATCTATCAAGGATATACTTTACCAGTCCGATTTGACACCATGAACGATAAAGGTCTTATTGTTGTCAATTGGACAAAAGCAGAGAAGTTCTTGGCATGGCACGTCCGGGTGTTTTGGTATTCTTGAGCACACCAATCTCATTCAACAAAAATCAAAGGAATATGAAATTGTAGCTCCCCAAAAGAAAAACTACACAAGAAAAAATAATTCTGCCCCACAACTTGAGAAGAATCAGTTTTCTATACAAAAGTGTGGAAAACAAAATTACTGGAAGAAAATGCACGCAGCTCATCTTCACTTATTCTATCATTTTCAATTTTGTTTGTTGGTTGGGAGATTTTGAGGCTGTGGGGCATCGGAAAACTTTCCATCTAAGTTTTAGCTTAGGGAAGCACAGCTCTTACTTCTTTCCTATCAGCTCCATATGCCTGCAATTCAAAACCATGAAATCATCATTACCAGCAGAAGAATATCAGGGATAAAACCATCATACTGGCATGCTATGTGGGGTGGGGGAGCGAGCAGAAGAAAAAAATTCCATGTTGCTAGTGCAGAAGACCTCAAGAGTCTTTGCATTTTGCGGAAAGTTAGAAATACCCCAGGAAACCAGTAGAAAACTCACAGTGGAAGGAGGAAGTTGTCTTGATCATAGTCAATAATCATCCATTGTATTAAAAAATAAATAAACATATGACATCCACATGTGCTCACCAAAATAAATAAATAAATATATATATATATATATATATATATATATATATATATATATATATATATATATATAGAGAGAAGAAAAGAGATGAAGTAGCCTAATTGTATATATATATATATATATATGAGAGAAGAAAAGAGATGAAGTAGCCTAATTGACTATTTAAGTGCATTTTGTTTTTTTACCATCCCTATTTTACCCAGGACCACACATTAGCCAAAACCCATTATCACGAAAACCTATAGTTTTGCCACAATCAATATTTAAATCTTTTATGCTTACATCTCTAACAAGTCTTCATAGTGAATACATGTGTAACAAATCAAGGTTGAAAATTTGTTTAAATCAAGTACCCCAAAATACCAAGATCTCACATCAGAACACACCAATCCAAATCCACCGCTTCGATCTTGGTCACAGCTTCGAATTTGTTCAAGATCAGAACCATCACAAAATCAACACAGAACTATATTTATCAACAACTGGGTTGATTACTATCTGAATCTCCAACATCCAATAATCTTCCATCTTCCATTAATCAGTTAATTCCCCTTTCAAGACAAACAAAAAAACACTACAGACAGGCAAGAAGAAGAATCAACCTTGTGTTTGTTTTCCGCAAGTAGAGCAACAAAACAAGAAATGAGCTTGAAGATAGATTAGTGGGATTTGGACAACCAAGGATAACAGACTTGCAGTGGTTTCAAATCCGAGAAGGTGGTTTGGCTATTATATTTGTTAGGAGAGATTATTTTGTCCATAATGTTGTCGGGTGTGCTTGGCTTTGAATATGAGATTGGTTACCAAATTATTTTTTTTTTAACTTTTCTTTGAAATCATAGATTCTTCTAATTTTTTCTTTGAATTTTTTTTTTTATTATTATTTTTTTCTGGACATTGGTTTCACATTTCAGATAAAGATGGAAGGCATTAGAAGAGAAGATAAGCTAGGAGATGAAATCTGATCTGAACTAGGTTGCAATAAACTAAATTAACATAACGATGTAAATGTTCATTTTTGTAAAGTTCAGAGAGCATTTCATAATTAGCCTTGCAAATTCAAAAGCCATTCGCATGCTAAGTGTTTGAAGCACATGCAGCTGCCAGACACGTTACACTAAAGTGTGTTGAAGAAACTAGCACAGCTGCAACGCTTCGAATTTAACCTTCACTCTTTAGGATATCCTTCTAAAGATTATCAAATTTTATGTATGTTCTCTCAAAAATCAATTTTCCTGTTCCAGTGCACTTATTTAAAGGAAATATCGATTCTCCAAGAAATACTTGAATAAAGAAACTATAATAAGAAAATATGAAAACTTTAATGCAAGAAACAATAATCAGACAATTGGAAACAGACAGAAGGTTTTTAGATGTTCAGAACTATCCTAAAAGAAGAAAACATGTAGAGGAACAAACAACAATTGATCGACAGATAGATGGTCAAAAGAAAGGAAACCTTTATTACCTCAACTCCCATACCCTTCACGTATACATTTGTGAAAAGTTCCGAAGGTTCTGGCATCGGACTTTCCTGTAAAAACAATTGAAAAGAAAAAAAAGAGGCACCAAGACCACGAAAATTTTGAGAATACTCAAAGCCAGTGAGAAACAGGGGAGATAAGGAAAAAGTTCCTTCAACAAGCAAAGGTTACAAAGCATTTAAAATTGAAACAATAGATGGTTCTTACCTTGGCTTGAGCAATGGCATCATCTACTTGTTTTCTCAATTCTTTTTCAATATCCTGAAAAGTTTAGGAAAGAAATGCAAATCTGTTTACATTCAATCATGATAACTTAGCTCTGAACTTCATTGTAATTTGTGAGAATCTTCCTCAAGACATGAAGAGAGACGTGGGGCAAAATCTATCGATAAAAAGTACCAGTACTTGAAAGCAAAAGACAAAATTGTCCAGAAAGAATTGTAAGAATACAATCCAAGTTCACAACATTACCTTTAGCTCTTTCTCAGTAGCTAGATCATGGGCCAATATCAACTTTCTTATCCTTTCAACTGGATCACGTTCCTGAGCATCATATCAAAGAGACAAAACAATACATGAAACATCAGAAATAATGAACAAACTTTTGCCTTTGAAACAGAAATGCTGAATAGAACATGCAATAACCTGTCTCACGCCACTGATCTCGTCACGGGTACGGTAGGTGCTCCCAGGATCAGACATAGAGTGACCATGATACCTATAGGTATCCATTTCAAGAATCTGACACAAGCATCAAAAAATAATATCAAATAAATAAACAAACAAATTTGATAAAATGAGAATCAAGAATTACAACACACACAGATACGATCAACTTCTTCCATTGCCAGCTAATATGATGATAACAAAATATTATATTGCCATGTTAAATGCATGAACACTGATACAGACAGGATTTTGGTATCAGAAAAAAAAATTTACATATCCAAGCACGTAACCTCACACCTCACATAATTCAGCTATGAGCAGGTGAATTTAGATAAGTTACATCAAGACATAAATTCAGTGAGAGGCTAAAGAATAATAAGCGAACAATAAAACATTGCTTCAAAGTGTGTACTGAACAATTTCAACTGTAAGCAGATTTCAAAACATGCATTTCGTTTGGATTCTGGATAAGTTAAACTTACACCTGAATAAATATTACTAAGATACCCAGCCTTAATTTCCCAAAGAGTTATCAATCAACATTTATAGCATGATTCTCAATTACAGATGAGTCAAATTTAGCGAAATTTGTTTGTCAGACCCATATAGGATCATACAAAGGCCTTAACACATTACACATTGGCAATATCAAAGCTCTCAAGACTATGTCTTAAGCAGTAGCTCCAAAACTTCAGGTTCAAAATGGGGAACTTGCCCATGATTTCTCAAACTTCCCAGAGGTTTTAAACTTTAAATAACAGATAGAATAAACAGCATTTTCCAGAAAAAAAGTGTTTTGATGGTACTATGGTTAAGCACAGATTTGCAACTTCAGCAATTCAGAGCTCCATTAATTTCGTCATTAATCATTACACCAAAAACGTTTCGATCTTTAAACTATACAATGGCTTTAGGTTAGAAAAACAAGATCACAAAATGTTATCATAGTAACGGACAATGGTTAGAAATCGACCTCATTGAAAATTGGTTAAATAGACCAATTCATGTATTCAAAGAGTCCAGAAAACTGGCATACTGATGCAGTTTAATTAAGAACCACTTGCCTAAACTTATAATTACTACGCACAGCCATGTACGTCATCCCAAGCTTTCAGATGAGTATCAGATGTATTTATTCCGTATAAATATTTGCACTCCTCATTGTGCTCAAGATAGTCCACTCACAGCTATCCAGTAATTTAAGCAAATAGAATTACATCATTTATTTAACAGAAGCTATCATCTATGACATTCTTTTCATTGAATTCTAGTACAAAGCTCTATGTTAATTAAGGTAATAAATCAAAAGCAGGTACATGTCATTGCTCTGTGAAATGTTCAGACTGCCCAAGATCTGGCAAATTCATGCTCAGGCTTGAATACTGAACATACTTGATTACCCTTGATGCACTTAAAGCCTTGAACTATCAAAGTATGGCTTGTCCAAAGAAATTGCAAATAGGATAGTGTAACCTTGCCTCAGAACAAAGGACATGCATACCTTGAATACTTTCTTCTTAGATAAGCAGGCACTATTACAGCACAAATCATATTGAAAAGAACAGGAATCCCATTGGAACAAGCTATATAATATTGTTATTCAAAGCATAACGATACTATAAAATGACATAAATAGTTGGTTACGTACCAAGATCTAAATTAGAAGCGATAGGAAAGAACAATTCCCTATAACCGGAAGCAAAATAGCATGACTTTCATGAAGAATTTATCAAAGAGGAAAGAATGAAGATCAAGGCCTCACAGTCAAAGGGACCTAAAAAAAGCATGCACAGTAACTGAAAAAATTAAAACTCACAATGGGTCCACTCTTTAAGGCGTAATCCTTTGCAAATCTGCATGCTTGTTTCACAGCAAGAGCATCCATGCCATCTACCTGTTAAAAAAAACTATGAAGCATGAAACAAACTCAAAAACCTAATACATTGTGGCAGAAAAATCCCAGTTGCCAGCCTATCCCAAATTCACAGAGACAAAGAATTTAACAATTTTCATTTCATTCAAAAAGACCGATTCCAGCCAAGCTGAAAGCACCAATGAAGTAAAAAGAAAAAAAACAACAAAAATTTCATATTTACATCATCATCACACTCTTGAAAAACGATGCAAATTTTTAACCACGAAAAGCATATTCAAAACTATCTCCAGGCAAGTGACCAGAAAATTCTTCAGAAAATCCTAGATCAAGAGTCTGAGATCAATGACACAATTTACATCCAGAAACAATGTAAGAAGCCAGAAAGTTCTTAGAAATCATGCTCTATGAAAGTTCTTATAGCAGAGCTTCATTGGCAAAATATGGATCAGTTTTTTATCAGGATTGATGCTCCTTACAAACCAAACTTTGACACAATGCAGAATGGAGAATACCACGTGCTAAAACACAGACAAAAAGGAAAACATTGGAAAACGTTCAAAAACATCAAAAAAGAATAAATTCATTTGGAATTTATCATGACATAGTTGCATGATTATTATGTTAGAACTTCATTGCAAATATGTGCAGCAACAATTTGCTATTCCATTCTATCATTCTTTTCTTTGAAATAACCACAACAAGCGCAAGGAAAAACTTTTTGCGAGACCTTATGCTTTATTATAGCCTTTAAAGGAATGCTCTATGACTGGCCCATGAAATTTCCCAATCAACTCAATACTCCATGAGTGTAATTTCTAAATTACCAATTCAAAGAAGAAACTAAAGTGAATCCCGCCAGAATCCTTGATAGCATGCTGAGTTTGAAACTCGTTTCGCAACAACATATCGGGAAAAGGAAAAATAAAAGAGTTAAAACTTTCTTCATCATGTAAGATTTGCAACCTACACAGGTTTTAATTCCAAACTAAATAATTAGACAAATATAACAGTGACACTTCAAAGTTTGCCCATCTATTATTCAGCCAGAGAATATAATAATTATATTACGTCTGTAACAGCAGAGTTACTTCTAAAATAACAACACAAATAACACTTCCATTACTATTTCATAGAAACAATATAATAATTATATTATAGTCAATAGAATCCAAAATTTCAAATGAACATAAAAGCACAAATGCAAGATTGTATATTACCTTCACGCCAGGAACATAATCTCCACGCTTATAGTATGATGGATTCTTGGCAGCTCTCCATTCCGCTGTCCCCATTCCATCTGCACAAAAACGCATGGTCATCATCCAATCGAAAAGCAGACGCAAATAGAAAATAGTAATAAATAATGATATGCATATATCTCACAATGATTATTCTCGCAGACCAAGATGGCAGGAAGATCCCATAGAGCAGAGATATTTAGGGCCTCGAACAGCTGTCCTTGATTAGCAGCACCATCTCCATACAAAGCAAAGGCGACGGTGTCGTCCTTGTTATACTTGTGCGCAAATGCCAATCCACAACCTAACGGTACTTGAGCTCCCACAATACCATGCCCTCCATAAAATCCACTATCCTTCTTATAGAAATGCATGGACCCACCTTTCCCATGCGAACAACCGGCCTGTCGTCCCATCAGCTCCGAAAATACCTCCAAGAGGGTCCCACCTCTCCCGAGAAACGTGCAGTGGTCACGGTAGGCAGTTATGATGCTGTCCTTCTTGGTAATTGCAGCCTCCATTCCAACGGCCACGGCTTCTTGACCGTCGTAGAGATGGCAGAATCCGCGGATGAGCTTGGCCTTGTAGAGTGAGTCGGCGGCGATCTCCATACGGCGCATCCTGGCCATGTCTCGGAAAAAAGAGAGGAGTTCTTGAGGATTGGTCTCGACAGTGCGTGATGGAGGATCGCATTTGTGAGCGGTGAAGGGAACGGAGGTCTCGATTGTGAGTGGATCAGTTGAGGTGGAGATCGGACGGCGGAGAGAAAAGGCGGTGGCAAGAGGCTTGAGAAGATTGGATCTGGATGAAGATGATTTCAGGTGCGATAAGGCCATCTCGACCAACGGTGTCTTTCTTTCTTTTTTTTTTTTTTTTTGGGTGGGGAGGGTTGAAGGGAAATGGAGGGGTTTGGTGAGGGACGAGGAGACACAGAGAATAATTTAGCTTCGGCTGATCGCTGGGTGGGAAGGGCGCTTTTCTTTTTTCTTTTTTTACGGATGGATGTTTTTTTAATAAAGATAAAGATTTTTAGATGGATATTAAATTCAAAAATGCATCAGTGTCCTTAATTTGACTAAAGAAGTTCCGACGATGGGGAACGCCGAATCATTTATGCTGGGTTATTTGTATTTTCATGGGCTAGTTGTTGAAGTATTTTATAAAATATAATCAGGGCTTGTAAGTTGTGTGTGGCACAAAAAGGAAAACTAATGCATAACAAAATATAATAACGAAACGTTAATGTTCATCGTTTGATCACAAAATAACGTCATTTGAATATGCTTTCATTGGAACACCTATAACTCTTCAAACTAACATGTTTTTGTTATTTCAAAAAAAACATTTTTGTCCCATCATAACAAAACTAAAAGTATTGTCTTATAATTGTTTTTTTTTTTTTTCCATCGTTTCAACCTGTATTTGTTATTATCGTTATTTAAAAATTTTACAATTTTTTTTCCTAAGTTAACACATGTAACAATAATAATGATCATGATTCATAAAGTTTGATATATAAAAAATTCTCGACAAACTTTATAGGTATTATTTTCAACGTAATCACCACTAAAATTACCATTTGATCCTCTTACTATCCTTACTCAACCTTACCACTCTCTTTTACCTCATTTATTGGTATTACTACCGCTTTATTATCACCACAACCATTATTTGAAATATTATATTATCCTATTATTATGAAAAATTTATAATAAAAAAAATAACTAATGCTATATACGGTAATTATTTTTTGAATCTATTTTGAAAAGAGATATATACATAAAAAAAAAATTATATTAATATCTATCAAAAGTGATAAGAAGATTTTCACGTCCGCTCAAATTTTTTTATTTTCTCTTTTTTGTTTTTCTCTCTCTTTTTGTATGTCTATCTCTCTCCTCAAAGTGGATCCAAAAATAACTACCGTACTCCTTGTGCATTATAAAATTTCTCATATTATTATTGCCGACCACAACCTTTAGCCAATTGTCGAGTCGCTAATGCCATCTCACACTAATTATTTAAATTTTTACATTTTAAAAAAATAATAATAAATAAAACAAAATCTAACTTGTATGCTATAATAAACTCACAAACAATAAAAGGTACCATGAGATGCCATTGATACTTGAAACCCTTTTTTTTGCCTTTTTTTTTTTTTTTTTTTTGTACTCCTAGCCAAGAAAAATAAAAATAGGGCAACCTTTGTTAAGTCTCCAGCCTACATAAGTAATCTCAATCAAATACTTGATGCGTTAATTATTCTAAATAAAATCATTTTGTCAATTTCAATTAATAAAATTGTTACGTAATAATATTGTACATGCTTGATATTTCGATTAATTAATTTAGCTAATTTTTAGAGATCATTGAAATATATATATCCTGCACAAAATTAAGTGAGTTATGTGACTATGCATAAAATACGAGTGTGATGTTTTTTCTTGTAACCGTTCTCTTTGAACTAACTTAAAACATGGTTTAATCAAATTGAGTAGTTATGAGAAATTGAATAAAATAATTGAAGGGTCTACAATTCTTATTTACTATGATATTTTGAGTTGCTCAATAATTAAGGTATTTATCACAAATATTTATTTTTACGTCAAACGATAATTTGAAATATGAGTATGCAAAAAAGTGTGAAACTTATTAAATAATCGGATGCATTCATCATAAATATTTTTATTCGTGTCATATTACATGAAACTCACTTGCTATGCCATATATATATATATATATAAAAACCCTTGTATTTTTTTTATATAGTTTTTTTTTTACGTGAATAGAAGAATTTTAGTAAATTAACGAGGGCTTTTTTAACGGAGAAAAAAGGAGAAGTAATGTGCTTTTCAAATGATTGCATAATAATTTTATTATTTAAAACTAACAAAAGGACTTTGTGAGAATCCGTGGATACATTGTAATGTCAAAATGTCAAAAACCCAATCAATAAGAAAAATTAATTGAGAATCCAATCAAGACTGCCTCAATAGATATATATTTTTTTTAAGATTTTCTAATATACACATCTTCATGTGAAATTTATATCATGGTCTTCCATAAAATTTAAGTGAAAACTAGCTTGAATACCCATGCCTATATGGTCTATTATGGTTCTTAAAATTGCAATAAAATTAATCATAACTATGAACCGAAAAAACATTTGTATAAAGAAAAAAATTGTAATTAGGTGAAATTAAGGCAACAATTTAATTATTAAAATCACCAATAATTAAAAAAAAAAACCTAAACTTAGTAATTTAAAAACAAACTTAATACTTGTAGCTATTAAAAAGAAGGAAGTAATAACTTATAAGGTGTTTTTATTTTCTTAATTCGACCACCATAAGAAATGTTTTTTAATCAAATCACGTGTTAACTGATATTAAATTTTTTAAAAATAATTTAAAATTTATATTCTCTCATATCGGTCTAGTGTGTTTAAGAAAAAAAATTTACAAGAAGGACTCAGAAAGAAATTGTAACTTGAAATTATAAAAATGATAAAAATTGATATAACAAGTTTGATTTATAATATACTTGTAATATTAATTTAATTTGAATCCGAAAACAAACAATTTTTTTTTTAAAAAAAAAACTTTTGAACCTGCATTCTATGGTGGAAATGATAAACCGTGGGGCGAGCGAGAGAGGAGCATTATATCCAAACAAAACCACTCCCGCGCGCCATGAACAGCACTCTCTCCATCCTTTCCCCTCCTCACATTACCTCTCCATTCCTTTTCAAATTCAACCCCTCCCTATTTTCTTCTCATCAAACCCTAAGATTCTGCTGCGTTCCAAAACCCAAACCGAGATCATTCAATTCATTTCGACTCCTCTCCTCCTTCAACTCCCCAAACTCTCTCATCCCGGCGAAGTCGCAACTCTCCGATGCCGATACCGATGAAGACGACGCAGAAGAAGAAGAGTACGAAGATGAAGAAGACGACGACGAAGAAGAAGCTGCTGATGAATACGACGATATTTCGGAAGCAATCGAAGAGGAAACCGAAACCGAAACAGAAATATCGGTCGTTGCGAGTAGTAGTGAAGTATCAAATTGGCGCAAGGAATCCAAGTGGCAGAGAGTTGAAAAGCTCTGTAACGAAGTCAAAGAGTTTGGAAATGAAATTATTGACGCTAATGAACTTTCTTCCATTTACGATTTCCGCATCGACAAATTTCAGGTTCTTCTTCTTCTTCTTCTATCATCATTATTATTATTTTTAATGAAAGTGGCGAAAATTATTTAGATGTTTTGTTTTTGGCAGCGGTTGGCGATAGAGGCGTTTTTGAAGGGATCATCTGTCGTGGTATCGGCACCAACAAGCAGTGGAAAGACATTGATAGCTGAGGCTGCAGCAGTTGCTACTGTTGCTAGAGGAAGGAGGATTTTCTACACTACTCCTCTTAAGGCTTTATCCAATCAGAAATTTCGTGATTTTCGGTTTGTAATTTCCCCTTCTTCTTCTAATAATAACAAGACTGTTTCGTTTTACTTATTAATAAGTACTCCTATTTATCTGAAACTACACTTACTGCAGGGAAACATTTGGGGATGAGAATGTTGGTCTTCTCACTGGAGATTCTGCCATCAATAAAGATGCCCAAGTTTTGATTATGACTACAGAGATTTTGCGAAACATGTTGTATCAAAGGTATGTTTATTGCTTTATACCGTGAAACTTGAATATTTTGATCCTACGAACTGATGATGTATGGAACAATGTTACTTAATAAAATGAATATCGAGCCATCGACATTTGAAACAAGGATTTTATTTAAAATTTGTGCCAGTGTCACTTTCAACTATACTGTACATTGGGAGGATGATAATTGCGTTGGTTAGCTTTTATAAATCCATATTACGATGTTTAAATTTGAAAGGAGATTATAGTTGTCAGCGATGATTTTTAGACCTAATTTCTTTGTCCTGGAAATTTGGCTTGTGCATAGAAAATCTACTGTCCTTTCTCTCATGCAGTTATGACCCAAATTCTTTTCTTTTTTCTTCATTTCGTTTTCTTCACTTTATCTTTTAAATCAAGTATAGAAATGGTGGTTGATCTTCTCATGCAGCATTGGGATGGTTTCTTCTGGGAGTGGACTTTTCCATGTCGATGTGATTGTTTTGGATGAAGTTCATTTTCTAAGTGATATATCTCGTGGTACAGTATGGGAGGAAATAGTAAGTATAATTTATAGTTCAGTATCTCATTTGTGGATCAAAATTTATCGTCGCATTACATTGTGTGATTGACATTATTAAATTTTCAGCTTATTTATTGCCCGAAAGAAGTTCAACTGATATGTTTATCAGCAACAGTTAAGAATTCAGATGAGCTGGCTGGGTGGATTCGTGAGGTACAGTTCTTTATAAATGCCACTGTACTACCTTGTTTGGAGCTGTCTTACAGACATGGTGGTTGAACAGTAATGCTTGCACGATATGTGTTTGCCTGTAACAAGATTCTCCATTTGGCCCATTTATTCTGTTCTTCTACTTCTAACAAGCTACTTGTGGAACAGTTGCTATGGAACTTAATGAAATGCTAAGATTGTTCCACTTCTTCTTAGTGAAGAAACCAAAAGAACCAGAATTTACTTTTCATAGAGTATGACTTACTGGAGGTTCACTTCTATAGTTTCGAATATCTGTTTTTTATTTTTCATTTCCCAGAAGCTTTCATCTTAATTCTTTAGTTGCTAACGACTCTCCATATATGTACTGAATGGATTGCCAATGATCTTTTATGAAAGTACATTTAAATTGTTCTTGATATGAAATAAATCAGAACCATTCTCATTCTAGCTGAGGTCTCTAAGATGTTCGATTTCTATGAATTTCTACTATGAAAATGGTAGAAAATCATTGGCCAAATATATTGATGGGTGATCTAGCTAACATTGGTTTGTTTTATTTTATTTTTTATGATTTTTGTATCATGCTTAAGCATCAGACTACCCTTAAAAACAACGCTTTATCATCCCTTCATCTTATATTTTCTTCTGCTTTGCTTCTCATGGAGTCTAGGGCCATAGAAATAGTGAAATATAGTTTGTGATTGCATGGACAGAAGGATCATTTTGACTATCATTCTAAAAAAATTTCTTGAGGTGCTATTAGAGTGTGTTTTTTTTTTTTTTCAGTCAAGGAAAATGCCTTTTGAGGTTAATGTGGATGCATAATCCTGTTGCTGCAGATTGAGTTATGAATGATTTTCGTACACTCTTACCTTTAGGAACTGGAAGTGATGTCTTCAATGCATTGGTTGGCTTCCTTCAGAGTCCTAGATTTGCAAATTCGGAATTGAAGTGCATGCACTATGAATTTGGATGAAATTTTTGGCAATTTTTCTTGTTTCTTGATTAGCTTGCATTAACATTTGTATTGGTTTTGGACAATTAACATTCCTGAAGGATTGGCTTTATCCAGCAATATAACAGATGAACACATGCATGCACTTGCTCATGCATGTGTGCCTGTCAACACACTATCTAACACAAGAAATCACAATTGATATGATAATTCCAATAAAAACAACTGCTTACTTGTCTAGATATCGTTCTTGTTGGCTGTTGGACATTTCTTTTGTTTTCTTATTTCTATATTGGAGCTATTCTGGCTGCATCATTACCAAGTCTGCCATTTATTTCTTGTTTGAACTCTTGTCCTACGATTGAACTAGATCTATCCTTTAGTTTTAGTTTGAAACCTATTCATGGCAAAAGTTAATGTATATTGGAGTGGTACGTGTAAATTAAGTATGCACTAAACTTCTACCGTGTCTCCTTTTCAGATGGATTGAAATAATGATATGCTTCCATTTATTTGTGAACAAAACATCTATTTTCAATGGGATAAAAAATTGTGAGATGCTTGAACTCAATTCTGCTAGTTAGTTGTGCCAACCATGGCTTCTGTATTGTCTTGTTTGGTGATCTATGGAATAATGTTTTCACAGTGAGAAGGTAAAGTGATATTTATTTCAATTTACTTTCTAGGTTCATGGTAAAACTGAACTGGTGACATCGTTAAGGCGTCCAGTTCCTTTGACTTGGCACTTCTCTACAAAGCATTCTTTGTATCCTCTTCTTGATGAGAAAGGAAAGCACATGAATAGGTTTGTCTTCTGTCATCTTATTTATCCTGTCCTAGAAAAAAATTTTATATCTTTGTCTGAACTCTAAATTCAATTTATATCACAGTCGTGTTGATGATGGTTGCATAATGTTCTATCATTTCTACAAAGAATTCTTCATATCCTCTTGTTGATGAGAAGGATACTAATTTCTGGTTTGGTTTTTAATTTGGAACAGGAAGCTGTCACTCAATTATTTACAACTTTCTGCTTCAAGAGTCAAATCTTACAAGGACGATGGGCCTAGAAGAAGGAATTCAAGAAAACGTGGAAGCAACATGGGCTTTGATAGTATTGTTAACATGTCTGAAGAACCTCTTTCTAAGAATGATATAAGCAGAATACGCCGTTCACAGGCAACGACTTTGTCTATTATTTTTCTGATGATGTGACCCTTTTCTTTTCTGTCTTTCTTTCCTTTTATTCTGAATATACTAGGTTGTTATAGTAATTGACTCATAACCTGTCCTCTAGAATGGAAAAGGAGTTTAGCCATCTAAAATAAATTATGATTTTCAGGTGCCTCAAATTGTTGATACACTAGCACAGCTTAAGGCAAGGGATATGCTGCCGACAATTTGGTTTATTTTTAGCCGAAGAGGATGTGATGCAGCTGTGCAGTACCTTGAAGGTTGCAGGCTCTTAGATGAGTGTGAGGCAAGTGAGGTTGAACTGGCTTTGAAGAGGTTCAGTGTTCAGAATCCTGATGCTGTCAGGGAGACTGCCGTCAAAGGACTTCTAAGAGGGGTTGCTGCACATCATGCAGGATGTCTCCCCCTATGGAAATCTTTTATTGAGGAACTGTTCCAGAGAGGACTTATTAAGGTTGTCTTTGCTACAGAAACACTAGCTGCTGGAATCAACATGCCAGCTAGGACAGTTGTTATCTCATCTCTCAGCAGGAGGAGTAGTAGTGGACGTATCCCATTAAGCCCAAACGAGCTTCTTCAAATGGCCGGGCGAGCTGGCCGTAGAGGCATTGACGAAAGGGGCCATGTTGTACTGGTTCAGACTTCCAACGAAGGTGCTGAAGAATGCTGCAAACTTCTGTTTGCTGGACTAGAACCTCTTGTATCACAGTTTACTGCTTCCTATGGGATGGTGCTGAATCTTCTTGCTGGTGCAAAAGTCACTCGTAGATCAAATGAATCAAATGAAATGAAGGTTCTCCAGGCAGGGAGAACTTTGAAAGAAGCAAGGAAACTAGTTGAGCAAAGTTTTGGAACATATATTGGCAGCAACGTGATGCTTGCTTCAAAAGAGGAGCTAGCTAAAATACAGAAAGAGATTGAAATGCTGACCTCAGAAATCAGTGATGATGCTATAGATAGAAAGAGCAGGAAAATCCTATCTGATGGGGCGTACAAGGAGATTGCAATTCTACAAGAACAACTGAGGGAAGAGAAACGCCTGCGGACAGAACTACGTAGAACCATGGAAACAAAGAGATTAAATGCCCTGAAACTTCTGTTGAAAGAGTTGGGAAATGATCGTTTACCCTTTTTGTGCTTGCAATACAAAGACTCTGAAGGAGTGGAACACTCAGTGCCCGCTGTCTATTTGGGAAATGCTGACTCATTTGATGGTTCAAAACTTAAAAACATGGTTTCTGCCTATGATTCATTAGCACAGACTGCTGCACCAACTGAGTCAAATGCAAGAGAATTAGAAACTCATAAAGATGTCAAGCCATCTTATCATGTAGCTCTTGGTTCAGACAACTCTTGGTATGTGTTTACAGAAAAATGGATCAAAACTGTTTACAGGACAGGCCTTCCTAATGTTGCCTTGGCTCTAGGGGATGATTTGCCACATGAAGTTATGTGGATGCTTCTTGATAGGGAGGAGAGGCAGTGGGAAAAGCTTGCTGATTCTGAACTTGGTGGTTTATGGTACATGGAAGGATCTCTAGAGACATGGTCATGGAGTTTAAATGTGCCTGTTTTAAATAGTCTCTCTGAGAGTGATGAGGTGTTACACATGTCACATGCTTACCATGATGCAGTAGAAAGTTATAAGGATCAAAGAAACAAAGTTGCACGTTTGAAGAAAAAGATAGCACGCACTGAAGGTTTTAAAGAATATAAGAGGATCCTAGACTGGAAGAATTTTACAGGGGATAAGATTAAACGCCTCCAGATGAGATCAAACCGTTTGAGTGAACGGATACAGGAAATTGAGCCATCTGGTTGGAAGGAATTCTTAAAGATCACCAATGTTGTACATGAAAGTAGGGCCTTGGATGTCAATACACAAGTAATATTTCCTCTTGGCGAAACTGCAGCTGCAATTCGAGGAGACAATGAACTATGGCTTGCAATGGTTCTTCGAAGTAGAATCTTATTGGATTTGAAACCTGGACAACTTGCTGCTGTCTGTGCAAGTGTCGTTTCTGAAGGGATCAAAGTTCGTGCTTGGGAAAATAACAACTACATATACGAACCTTCTTCCTCTGTAATCAATGTTATCAACGTCTTAAATGAGCAAAGGAGTAACCTTTCACAGCTTCAAGAAAAACATAGGGTAGAGATACCTTGTTGTTTGGATACCCAATTTTCAGGAATGGTTGAAGCCTGGGCTGCAGGGCTCACTTGGAGGGAAATGATGATGGATTGTGCAATGGATGATGGTGATTTAGCTCGCCTCCTACGACGAACAATTGACCTATTGGCTCAGATTCCTAAATTGCCTGATATTGACCCAGTGTTGCAAAGCAATGCAAAGACTGCATCCAGCATCATGGATCGGCCACCAATAAGTGAACTGACTGGATAGGGTTTATATGAGTTAAGAGATTCATGTCCTTGTTCCTTTAAGGTGAACGCTTACCTAGATGTCTCTTATTTAATCTTCAATACAATTTAACTCAAGAATGATGTACAAATTCTACCACTAAAGTAGGAACTGTAGAGTTTTTTATGATCTATCTGTTTGGGGAAGCCCATTTCTATGTTGATTCCCCCTTGCGAATCATGGGGCAGGATCACAGCTAACCAAATGCTTTTTTTTTTTTTTTTGTGGGAAAAAGTTGAAGGGAGACTAGCTGGTTTTCGGTGTTTGTTTGGGCCTTTGCTTCTTTCGTAACTAAATGAAAAAATCTATCTTGTTCCATTTTACGTTGGATGTAGTTAGAACTCAATTTCTTGTTCCATAAAGATGTCGTGCCTCATTGGAATGTGATGCGAAGAAGCTTGTGCCGATAACACTCTGAGTTGCGTGTGGCGGCTGATGAGATTAATCGAGTAAACAGTTAGAATACTAGATTCATCAATTTCTTTCTCTTTCTCCATCCTTCACCCTCAAAATCAAAGATCTTTCTTATTTCATCTGCTGCTTTTAGCTGGATACAATATAGATCCATGCGTGGAAGTTCCAATAAATGCAATATCATTTCCAAAACACAAATGTCCCAGAAATCTGAACATATGATAAATACAATCTAAGATTCCACAGTTAGCCTATCTAGGGGTTCTTCACCTTGATCCTCAACTTCCGAGCAATCTGTGCTGCTTTTGGATGAACAGGTCGCTTGTTGCAGTCAGACTGCTCTACCTCCACCCAGTTTATAACCTTCAACATTAGAGATTGTGGAACTTTCTTAGCATCTACATCAGCTGTTCCTTTAGATTTCTTCATTCCGGTTTCCAGAGCTTTCTCTAGGAAGTCCATGAACCAATTTCCAGCTTCATTTTCAATCTGCTTACCCAACGTAATTGTATTGCTTAAACTGCAAGAGGTTGGTCTCTTGTTTTCATCATTCTCAATCATGGATTTAAGTGGCAGTTTTCCCTGTGGAGTTGATGATCCTTTTCTTTCTGAAGAGGCCTTTTGATTAGCATTTGATCTTAGGAGTTTCTCAAAATTCATCTTCTGATCACTTCTTTCAGGGAAGCTAGCAATTGATTTGTACAATGCTGTTCTTCTTTTCGACCCATTTTGGTCCATAGAATTGTGTGCAATTTCATGTAAGACTGAAGAATTTTCTTCACGCTGTTCGATATTTGTGTTCTGACCAATTTCAGCAGCTGAAGTGGCCGCTTGAATTGACACCATATCAGTAACTGCTCTAACAACATGGTGATGGAACTCCAGAAACTGGTCAAAACAGGCTGCTGGAGAATCTGGTCTCGCTGATTTGCTCAAATTCGAGAACATCCTACACAAGTGGTCATCGTTTTGATGTTAGCAAAACTTAGTTTTAAACTTCCAAAACATGATAAAATAATTAAACCAAAAGGCTTATAAGAGAAGGTTTAGTACTTGAGAGACCGAACTAAAGTTTCAGTAGCTGAAGCGTCTCTTAGCGCCTGGAGGGCTATCTTCTGAGCCATTTCTCGTTGCTGCACAGCTTCCTGTTAACCACAAAAGTTTTAGCAAACAAGGGAAAGCAATAAAGAATCAAAATTTCATCAGAGGAATCCAGAGTTCACCTTGCCTAATACGTTCAGTCTTCCTGGTAAATTTACAGCCAGCCCGGTACTGCAATCAGAGGATGAAGTACCAGACTGAGACTGCATTTCTGAGATGGCCTTTAAATTGGAGGAGTTTTGTGCTTCTCCGCCCATTCTGAGAGAAGCTACAGCCCTTGCATTTCTTAAACTCGGTGGGGGAGTTGAGCTTTTCTTTTCCTACACAAAACAAAAATAGCAGCATTCGTTATTTTCATTTCTATACTAAAAAAAGATTTAATGGGAAATTGAAATAGCTTCAATTCTTTCCTGAAGCTAATTACTATATCTATGGAGTACCAAGCAACCATTTCAAGCTTATCAGTAAGTTAATGAACAGGAAAAAAAAACATGCAGGAGTAAATAACTAAGAGAGAAAAATGCACCTACAGATGCTTTGCAGGGGCTAATTGGAATTCTAGCTTCTCGTTCACAGACACTCTTGCTTCTTGGAAACTTGGAATTAGCAGAATGTACAGCACAACTTTTCCTGAGCAGTGCAGGACTCTCTCCCTTGGTGTCCATCATCTTAGCCAGCAATCCACCACCCGCAAAAGAACACCTAACCACCCCATTAGTACCTCCATCTTTGGCAATTCTCCCTCTCACCATTGGGGATACTGATTTGACACAGCTTACAGCAACTCGCTGTTTCACCGGTGTGCACTGATCAAAATCCAAAGGAACTGGCTTTAAAACCATTGGAGATGAAACCCCATCTGCCCCATTTTGCCCTGTTCCCCAAGAACCTCTCCTTTGACCATTAGGTGGTTTTTGTTCACTTCTTCTCTCTCCCTTTCCTCTAAGACCCATAAGGGGTTCAGGGGTGCCTAAAAATGGGTGTCTCCCTGGAAGTGGCTTCGCCCCTTTGACAACAGGAACAGGAGATCCTGGCTCCAGTCTGTCAACGTAAATGAACTGGCCGAGTTGCATTTTGTTGCTGAGAACAAAGTCATCTTGATCAGAGGGAAGACTGACATAGATGGAGTGTGAAGAATCGGATACTTTAATGAAGAATCCATGTTTGGGCCACAAATTTTTCTCGTCAAGATCAGCTGGAACTATGTCAGTTACCTGCAAAAGCGAACTCCTGTGCTCGCTGGTGGGCTTAGTCCCTGTATCCATCCCATTTAGAAGCTTCAACAGAATTCCAGGTGCCAATGTAGCCATAAAGAATGAAAATGAATAAAAACTCAACTTTTTTATTTCTCGTGTTCAGTTTAGGGTTAGAATTTTTTAGATTTTGAGGAAGAGTTTGTTGGGTAATTGAGCGAGCGTTGGGTGGTGCTAACGGTAAGTAGGTGGTGGTGGTGAAGATTACTTTTTTCAAAATTCAGATTTTTTGAACGTTGCTGCAACGGTCATATGTTGGTGCTTGTCTTGTCTCCAAGCCATAATGATTTTTTGAATAATCTACTACTCCTATTTTGCTTTTTATTTAAATAAATAGAAAAGATAAAAATGGTCAATAAATTAGTTCATTTAAAAACCACGCTCTGTCACGAGGGTTGCATGCATAATTTAAACATTGTGGATGTTAAATAATAGTTTCTGAATTCATTAATAATTAACAATAATACATGTTTTTCTAATAGATTTGTTAAATGTACATATAACAACACTTTTAATTGGTAAAAATCATATAAACAACATGTTATAACTATAAAAAAGGAAAAAAATATGAAAACATGAATTTAGAATACCAAAAATTATCAAAATAATCAACTTTAAAAGTGAGTCATTATTAATCCTTTATTTTCATTATAACAATCAGTAATGACCATTGTTATCGTATAAAAACCATTATAATACTAAATAATGATAACATAATGTTTCGATTTAAATAAGGATAATTACATTGTATTACGAGTGGTTGTTTAAAATCGTGATGACATATGTATAAATCAAAGTTATATAAAATATTTAAAATTAATTTCAAGTATTTGAATCCAAATTAACTCAATTTCACCCGACCATAGCCTTTTTTTTTTTTGAAATAAATTGTCCCAAATTGATTCACCCAAATGAATTAGGTGACCATATGGGTAATTAATTTGGGTGGAAAAAAAATCGTTTTAGATTATTATTAAAAAATATATTTTTTTACCGAACTTGAATTTTTTTATTTCCTTTTATCCAAATTTACTTTATTCGATCCAGTAATTCAATTAATTAGAATGTTTGACCTCCTACATATTTTTTTTTTAGCCTAAAATACTAAAATATGACAATTAACTAGCCAAAATTAAGTTAAGGAAAATCACAAGCCATCTAGTTTTAAAAATTTGTTAAAAAAAAACTATAATAAATTATCTTTAATAAAATTTGTTAACCAAATTAGTCCATATAATTCATATTTTCTTTTAATACACTCAATCCTTGCAAATGAGCTTCTTTATAATCACATGAAGAAAAATGAACGCACCAATTCATTCTTTAGAACACATTAGTTGGATACTTGACTACGTTGCGATTAATCAACTCGTCACATGCGTAGGATCAAAGATTCGTATAGTGTAGTATCGGTAAAAATCTTATTTCTAGTAATTAATGTAAAGAGAATCTATTTATCGAAATATTTATATGTATTTGTTAACAAATTAATCAATAATATTAGCATAACAAGTTGTATTTGAATAATTGAGAGGCTCTTTCAAAATATTATTTTAATTATTTTATTTAAAAAATATTAATTTTAGAACATAAAAAATAATAAATAACAAATAATTGGTGTTATGTGTACATATACATAGTTAATTTCTAACAAAATTAATAATTCACACACACACATTACGATCATACTTAACATATTCAAAATATATAACATAAATAAAAAAATATAAAAAAATTCACCTAAATTGTATGAAGCATATTTAAGTTAATAGATTAAAATAAAAACTACCGCATAATTAGTTGCAATAAATTTTGATTATATATATAGATACAAATAAAACTCATGAATTCTATTTTTAATTGATTATTTAAATATATTTTTTAAAAAAGTTGAGTCAAATTATCTAAAACACACTTTTAACATTATATATAAACTTAGTGTTTCGTAAAATTATAAACTTTATGTTTTTTAATGATTTTAACTCATTCTTTTAATTTTGGATAGAAAGGCCATGAACTAACTTCGATAACAATACTAACACAAATCAAGTTTTTTTACTTAAATTTCGATCAAAGCCGACATGGCACGTGATGAGGCATGACAACTAGACTAAATATGACACGTAGGATACATATAAGCAATAACTTGGAAAATTAATTACTAAATTTAAAAGACAAGTACTATTATTACAACAAAATCCCCAATTCAAATTAACCCTAACCCATATGTCATTTGCTTTCCATTTTAATTTTGCAAAGCACACCATCTTCCTTCTTCACTCTCATAATCAAATGAATCCATAGACCATCATCTTCCTTTATTTGAATTCTCTTACTCAAACGAACAAAAAAGACCATTATCTCTCTTCTTCTACCTTCGTCTTCTTCCTTCTTATCTCCCGAACCCATAGATCCTCCAATCTAATTCTCTTCTTCTATCGTGAAGCAATTGCTCTAGTTCAAGCAATTAAAAACCCAAACTCCTCTCTATCTCTAATCCCTTAATTTAAAAATCTCAAACCCTTCTCTATCCTTTATCCCTCAAATTCTAAATCCCAAACTTTATGAGATGAACTTTCAAGAAAATCCCTCCAAAATCCTAATCCCTCAAATTCAAAACACCAAACCACTTTTTATCCAACCCTCCCCCACTCTCACGATTATTCCAAAAAAATTCAAATCTAAAGCCCGGATAAACCTTTATGGAATTGTTCATGTGGCAATTGAAATTTCTATAAGTATTAGCTTCAACATAGATGAAGCTTTGAAAATATCTTTTTCAACTTTCAAGACACCTTTATGCAAGCATAATACAAAGACAAGCATATATATATATATATATATATATATATATATTTCATGAACAAAATCAAACTTAGGGAAGAAGTTCATTTCGTTGTTCATATTAGAAGGTATTGTTCTTTAAAAATGAAATTCGTTAGTTGATAACTATGGGAATATTTGACAAAAAAAGAACAAACCAATCTTGTTTGATATTTCGAGGTTGATAATTATGGGTATTGAAAGTGGATTGAAAAAAGGAGCAACATCTATGGAGCTAGAAAGCCGAGTGGTAATTGACATTGAAGAGTTGAAAGAAATAATGAAGTTAGTAGAAATATTTAGAAAAGAAAATTTGAGATCAATTGGAATTGAAGACAAAAAGAGAAAGCAAACCAAAAAAAAAAAAAGAGTTGATTGAAGAAATGGATAACATGAGATCTCGAAGTCATTGAAATGAAAATTGAAATTCAAAGAATAAGGCTTGGCATGAAGGAGTCGGGAATGAAAATGAAAGGTGTCATGAAGTAGAATTTGTTAGCAACAGTGATAGGTTTTCTCGTTATTAGGATATATATTGCCATCAAATGATCATAATTGCATGTTAGCTTTAAACTAAGCAAAAAGTAAGTAGGTGGCTGAAATCCAAAAACCATTGAGGTGAAGAAAGGTTAGAAGGAGACTCCTAGAAGACCGTTTTATATATATAGCATTTCTTGCATTATTATTGTTTACCTTATTTTTTTAACTTGTGATGTATATATAACTTGTAACCCTACCGGGGCTTGGAATTTTTTGGATTTGCTTGGAATGTTGGAGTCTCTGTTTAATGAGTTGTTAGTTTCCCTTGCTTTAGTAAATAGTATTATGCTTTTTTGCTAGGGGCATCGTACCCTATGAAGCGATAGGACTTTGATTCATTTGTTAATTATAATGTAGTAAAATGTATTTCATGTTTTTTTCCCTCCCATTACAAAAGATATCACAAATAAGCTAAACGAAAAAAATAATATTTCTTGTTAGAGTTGCTACCTAATGCCCTATTAGCCATTGTTTTTACTAATATTACGTAAATTTTACCTAATTTTCCTTGTATTTGATTAGTTCCTTCAACTCCGTCAACCACAAATACAAAACCTTCCTCATTAATGTAACAAAGATCTATAATCCTTAATAGAGATTGTACTATCTCAAACACCTAATTTTGGAAGGAAACAAAGAGTCTTAAATACATTTCCTCAAATATTCACATGAAAGCAAAAAAAAAAAAAAAAAAACAATGCCATACATTATGGTCCGAACCAATCCGCCAAAACAAAATCCATATTCGATCTGTTAGTGTAGGTATTCTAGATTCAACTTGTTTTGATGTTTTTTTTTTATATATATAAGAGATAACATGTCTTTTAAGTTTAGTAATTAATTTTTCAAATCACTATTTATGCGGATCCTATATGTCATATTCGATCTGTTAGAGTAGGTGTTCTAGATCCAACTTATTTGGATGATTCGATATATTATATTATTGCATTTTAATATTAATAAAGAAGTCTTTCTATTAATTATTTTTATTCACAATTTGATAGAATTATATAGAAGTTTATATGATACGTATTACATTAATGAGTGATCAATATATGTGAGATAAACATCAATGTATTTAAATGATACCATTAAATATTTTAAGTCGTAGCATTATCAAGAATGGACATTGACAACACGGGGTAAGACTTGTAGGAGATATTCTTACTATAAGATAGCAGTAAGAGATCTCACACCTACCGACATGGTGATGCCAAAGTAAGCAATTGGGTGAATAATGTTAGAAAACATATCACTAGACGTAATTTTCCATGAGAACCCATTTAGTATTATCCATGAAAATCTCATAAAAGATGGGTAAAAGTGATCCTTTGAATTAAATTCATCACGCTTATTTTATTAGAAGATTAGTTTACTTTGACACTCATTTTGATAGACTTAGTAAAAAGCTATACGTGAGCGATTCGTTAGGTGTATTAGAAATCTAATGGAGATAGGTAGATGACCGAGATATGCCATGTCATTCCTCATATGCTAAAAAAATTATCATATTACACTTCAATAAATATCGACTCAAAGAATTTATGATCACAATGGAAGTATACCAATAAAACATTATTAATTTACTTGTGAGTTAAGACATTTGGATATCAAAGAAAACTTATGTGATCATAATTGAACGGACAATAAACTAAGGTCAAGATCACACTCGTGATAAATTGACATGAGGATTG